AATTAAGATGTTATTTTTACTACAACATAGGTATGTGCCTTCAAAAAAGTGGGAGTTTGGGGTCGGCCGTTTCTATTGGAATTAATCCTATATAGCCTTGTTAGTGTTCACTTAAAGGACCCTGGGTTCAATTGACCAAGTAGTAGTACAACTGTATATATATATATATATATATATATATATATATATATATATATATATATATATATATATATATATATATATATATATATATAGTATAGTATATATATATATATATATATATATATATATATATATATATATATATATATATATATATATATATATAAAAGAAAGAGTAGTATATATATATATATATATAGTATATATATATATATATATATATATATAAATATATATATATATATATATATACATACATACATACATTACGCTGCTGTGAGACAAGACGCGTTCCAAGGCGCCCCGTTTTAGCAGCCAGGCCGAAGCCTGTTTGGCCCTGCCACTCCCCTGCTATACCCCAACGCCTACCACAGCCTTACTACATCGATCTATTCAGCAAAAACATTCTAGTGATTAGTGAACGCATTGATTACGGAGCAGTAAAGTTCCTATAGTGCACTTAAGGAACTTTCAGCAAAGCATTCAAGACATCAGCACAGACACCAGCAGCTCATAGTAAACCCCAAGGAAAAGTCAGACAGTGGGCACTTTATCGTCACCTTTGAAGTGCCAGTGACAAGGACCACCGCTGTGTTTACATATATCGCGGAAACTGTGTCGTATGCAATTCCCAAGTACCAGGGACAAAGACCCACGGTCTTTAATTTATCGACAAATATTAACAGATGTCTAATGAAAGTGTCAGTGTGGCCTCAAAGTGCCGGGCCAGTGACAAACACTTCCGGCCCCGCTTCACAACAGATATCAACAGATGGCCACCAATCACTTACTCCCGACGCCATTCCCTGTACCATCTAAAGCATGGAACGTTATCCTTGATGGCAGTGTTATCGCCGACTCAAGTCACTGAACATATTCCACGCTACAGAAATGTGAGACAGGCCGCCATACACATAAGCCCATTAGAACCGTGAACTCCACTAGGAAACCGAGAAACCCACCCTGACAGACCATATGTCACCACACTGAGTTCCACGGATATGGTATGATCTCCCGCTTCATGTGCTATCCAACGCCACTTCCCTTAGCTAACAAATTTAATTTGAGCTGGCAACTACAGTCAGGCCGCTGCAGCATCATTGCCATATGTGAGGCTTAAAATTGTGCCTGAAACGTGTCATATTGAGGGATATCAACTCTTCATCACCTTCGCTCACATAGACGCCGAGGGGCGCTGTCTCTTCTGTCAAGATGACCTACCGCCGCTTCTGATGTCGTCCCAGCAGATGTGGAAGCATTATGGGTAATGCGTCATGCCACGGGCCCACCCGCTACAACACTGCTTCCATCATCATAATCTGTGTGGCATACCATGCGCCTTCGGGCCACCACCAGAGACACTCTTATCAATCATCTCATCACCACATTGTGACCACCTCTTCAGAGTTAGGTACCCATGTGCCAAGTTAGTATTATGTGGATTTAATGAAATTGGAGACCACTGATATCCAGGACCAGCTATCACTATCACAAGTTGTGACCTTTCCCCACACACGTCAAAATACCCTTGACCTTATCTAACTGACTTAGCGGACCAGTACCAACCACCTCAACCAATGCCTCCTATCGGGTGTAGCACACACTTATCAGTGCTCTGGTCCCCAACTGCCACTCCCACTCAAGTACAGAGACCCTACATCAAGACCTACAGGCCGACATTGACTTGCACTGGGCGCCGGCAGTGGATAGTTCACTATCCCTGACTGAAGTAATTTAGTGTGATGACGGAAACCAAATGGAGCAACAGCACCAACACCACCACGAAGCCTCACCACCACTTCTTCCCCGAGAAGTCCGCCAGATTCTCTTCAGCTGACTTGCCCTGATCAGTTCCTCGATCAAAAGACTTATAACAGAGCATGAGCCTTTCATCTCAATGACCACATCCGCTACAGGTCCCTTCAAGAATCGAAATATCCGCTAAATACGCACTGCAAAGAAGTCCCACTATCACCCAACCAAATTACAACACCTGAAGCAGACCAACATCAGTCAATGGTATGGTGTTTAAAGAACTCTGTGGACTAAACAATAAGACACACCCCTCCCTTCCTTAAATATCTCACCACAAGCTGACGCGAGTTGAGCAAACAAATAACCATTTCGCTACTATATACCAGACGCCCCCAGCTTGACACAACCACTCTCCCTGCTTACCTACCAGCCCCCCCTCCCACTGACTTAGTAGAAGAATTTGAAGTAGCAAAACGCCTGGACAAACTAAAATTAAAACGCTCTACCACCCCATTGACTTACCAAAGAAACTCTTCAAGGAGTTCTCCCCGGAGCTTGCTAAACCCCTATGCTCCATCATCAATGCTTCTCTCAGTCAAGCCAGATGCCCAGCTGACTGGAAGACCTCTTATGTATCACCAGTGCCCAAGTCAACCAGCCCACAATCCTTAAATCAGCTACGACCTATTTCAATCACCCCAATACCCAGCCTAATCTGTGAAAGCTTTGTGTTCGACTGGGCTTACGCTGATATTGCAGGAGTCGTAGACCCTCAGCAATTTGGCAACATGAAAACTTCCTCCACCACTCACTGTCTTGTCAGCTTTCTCGATTACATATACCGCCATCTCGAGAAACTAAAAACGTCTGTAGCTGTCGCCTTCATTGATTTCACTAAAGCATTCGACCTAGTCGACCACAATATAATCATCAACAAAGCTATTGACCTCGGGCTTCGGAGAAGTTTTATACCATGGCTTACAGACTTCCTCAGTGACCGACGCCAAGCTGTACGCTTCCGAGGGGCTGTCTCCACCTTTCAGCACTCACCTGTGGCGTCCCCCAAGGCACCAAGATGGGACCACTCTGCTTCCTTATGCTCATCAATGATGCCCTAAGAGAAACCCCTGCTCGCTGGAAATATGTCGACGACTCCACCATTGGGATCAGCGTCAACAATTCTGCTCCCAACTATACCGCCCTTCAGGATTTATTGAACAGTCTCCAAAACTGGGCCACCAACAACCATGTCAGCCATCAACCATACCACGACCATGGTTATGCACATCAACCTCTCCTCCGTCATTGTCCCACCCCCTTCCATTACTTTAGGTCCCAACACACTCCAGGTTGTAGATTCCACTAAGCTCCTCGGCCTCACCATAGACAACAAACTAAATTGGAAACCACACGTCAGTGAAGTTGTCAAATCCTCCAGTTTCCGTCTCCACCTCCTCCGCCGACTCAAGTCCCTCGGAGTTCCTGCACCCGAGCTCCTCAGTGTTTACACAACATTCATACTTCCCAAGCTCACCTATGCCTCCCACCTGGTCTTCCTCCCTAAATGCCACACAACGTAAACACCTAGAAAAAGTGCAAAAGAGGGCATGCAAGATTATTCTCTCCCTTCCTACTCCACATATCAAGAAGCGCTCAACACACTGACCCTTTCGACTCTCACTGACCATCACCACGACCTCATCTGCAAATTTGGTAAGAAGCTTCTACACCATCCTCGACACCGGCTCCTACTACCACCTGAGATCCCTAGTCCGAGAATTGCTGTTCGACACCACAACCGCATCCAGCCCATACGTGCACGAACTGATCGCTATAAGAACAGCCCAGTCCCAACCATTGTAAAAATTATCAATAACTTGTAATAAACCAGTGTATTCACTCCCAGTAAACACTACTCCTTGCACTGTCACTATGTTCAAATGAACTGTAGTTTGAGCTTTTCCCCATCTAGTTATTATATGTCTTATTTGTGTCACTTATGTTACTTGTATATTATTTGTAATTCGAAACCCATTCCCCAAATATGTAACTGTATATTTTCAGCCTTCTGGCTGCCAAGCTCTTTCAATAAACCGTTATTATTATTATTATTATTATTATTACATACATACATACATACATACATATACATATATATATATATATATATATATATATATATATATATATATATATATATATATATATATATATATATATATATATATATATATATATATATATATATATATATATATATATATATATATATATATATATATATATATATATATATATATATATATATATATATATATATATATATATATATATATATATATATATATATATATATATATATATACATTGTAAAACAATTTAAGAATGCCTTGTTCAAAATAGCTGCCTTGCTAATGAGTGGTAAACAACAGTAGGATTGTGAGATCATTCACAACAGTGTAATTTGGTAAAAACTATGGGAGTTTTATCTGGACTTATTAGCAAGGAGATTGAAGTGATGACAAGGCATAATTATAGGGAAATGTACAGAAAGATTAAACAAATGAACCAGAAAAAGCAAAGACAATGAGATCCTGTACGAGGCAGAAAAGGTAAAAAAGAGATAGGCAGAGTATGTAGAAGAACTATACAAAAGATACAAGTACAGTACTCATCATTCAACTGCGGTTATGTAAATGTATGATGATTGTAACAATCCATGGGAATGTCCAAATTCTAGCCACTGTCTCAATAAGCATCACAGGATGAGGTAAAAAGGTGTTGGTGGTATGGGGGGGTGGAAAATTGTGTGTAGCTGCAATCCCGCAACTACTGTAATATTCACCACTAAGGGAATAGCATAGATTAGGTTTGGTTAGATTAGTTTAGGTTGGGTTAGATTAGGTTTGGTTACATAAGGTTAGGTTTGGGTAAAACCCAAGATGCAAAACTTCACTTTCTGTGGTTATTTTAAAAATGTCTACAATGTCTTTGAGCATAAAATTTTACTATATATCCATCAGATATACCATAATAAATGTTTTTCTTTTGATAATTTTTGTGCATAGAGAAAATCTAGTGGATAAAGAAAGGTAAAGACAAAATGAGAAACAAATTCATTATATACATTTCAATACGACACCCTTAACATATATTGTGCACAATATTCTTTACACTTAACCTCTTTAGTACAGCACAAGTTAAAAGAGCGACAGGCTATGGTTTACTTCCGTTGCTCTCTGTGTATATACTGAACTTTCCTTAGTTTTACTGCTTACATACAAAGGAATGATTATATACCTATGATAAGTAACAAGAGTGCCTGAGCCTTAGCATTATATACACCAACACTCACATTTAAAAATCTACCACAAGGAATGGAGATCTGAACATGAAAACTTCATTGACTAACACCCATGATCCCTCCCTAATAATGGAGTAATTTGCAACAGCAGCAACAAAATTCCTGTACATCTGACTTGAAAACTTATATACACCATGACCACAATAACAACATCATCTGCTGAAATACTTTCTACAATTCAGCACTAGAAAATAGGTACAGTATAACAAAAGTTAACCTACCTGTATTTTACATGAAAATAAGAAAAAGGGAATAAACTAGGCAGTACATGAGTCTCTGAAGAAACTGGTGATCTTTAATTTCTTTCAGTTTTGTTTTGGTTACCTGCAACACTTAGCATCATATTTAGGTTCTAGGCATGCTCTCTTGTGCCTCTTTCTCCAGCTGCTTCCCCAAATACTCCCTGTGGAAAGGAGACAATGAGAAATACATATTTCAATACTGCAATAATTTCCTAAAGACAAATTACAGAAATACCTTTTCTTCCTACATTTAGTGTGGGAAAAACTTACATGCACATCCTCAAGATGTAATAAATATTGAAGTGTTGTATTAAAAAATACTGTTTCCCACACAATGGTATATAAAGCACCCTCTTGTCTTTATAAAATATGGCTGTTTCACTGTGTGCTCAGACACACACCTACTAGAACTAGGGAGGAAACTTACATGAAAACAAGGTGTTCCAGTGAGAGTAAGTATCTAACACTTTCTCTAATCACTTCTCAGCGACAAAAATCCCTACACCACCTGACCCAGAAGCAGTGGCCTTCCAGAAGATTTTGTACCTGTTATTCTTACCAGTAATCAACAGTGTAAGCCATTAAATTTGGTTGTTTTATGGTCTTAGTTCTTTTACCAAGACAATTGAAGCAAAAAATTAGACCACATCTGCCACCCATGAATTTTAACTCAAACCCTTTAAAAAGTTTAACTGTAGTGCAAATTATCCTTTACTGATTTAAATAATTCAAATATAATCCAAATAACCTTACAGTGGCTAAAATGATCCTATAGTACAGTAATCCCATGACCCAATGGCCTTATAGCAATCCAAATGGCTTTTACAGGAGAGATCCAAATGACCCTGTACTGTATACCAGTTGTGATCCAAATTATTCCATGATTATCTAAATTATCCTAGTAATCCAAAATTACCCTCCAATGATCCAGATTACCCTACAATGAACCAAATGAAATGAAAATTTATTTATTTTAATTTTTTTTAAATATCTCGTTTTCTTTGTAACACAGTAAACCATATGCTACACAGAATAAAATCAAAACAAGCTAAAATATCATGAAAGTGAAATAAGAATTACTTACCAATTATGAACCATAAGCTTCTGCACAGCTAACAGGGCTTCATAACGTACATTAGGGTCAGCGTGTGTGAGGTGCTGCATAACCCACTGCTTCCCTCCAAGCTGTTCAAGCACCCTAGACAGGTAAATATAATTTGAATTTAAAGTTATTTTTGGCAGGCTATATACAGTACACTCCCTCTAACCCAGACTCACTCACTCTGGATTTCCTTGCAAACTGGACAGGTTCAGCACCACACAAGACACATGTATCCTCAACCCCGAAAAACAGAACCAAAATCCGGTTAATATGGGGGAAAGTTTGTGTAAGTGGGGATTGACACAGGAGGGTAATTCAACAGCTGCTTCTGAGGAGGCAGCAGAAGTGTTTACGAAATATGAATAGTGTACAGTACACAATTATAGTCAATGAAATTACCAGTGAAAATATAACCTCTGCTTCACCTTCAGTAGTGTATATTGTGAGGGTCATATAATCACCTGCCTCAACCGCCTCATCACCTCAAGACTCAACTGCCTCATGGTAAGTTAATTAATAAGTACAGTACTTTATTATTAATATATACCATGTGCTTCCATTTTTCATCAACACATATAATAGTGCAGTAATAATGTACACTATTTGAAAGCTTTATCCATGGTAACTCTTCTAATTGTGTTAGAAGGATGAATTTGATACCATAATTACCATGAATAAATTGTCTATAAGATTAATTTAAAAATGCATAAACAAAACTCAATTATGTTATGCAAACACAATGTTTACACCGGGGTTTATAAAATTAGTTCTAATAAAGTTAAAAAATAAATAAAAATTTACCAAAATAATCTCTCGATTTACACGGTAGTTACGTTCTTGAGAATAGCAGTGTAAATAAAAAATGTGTATCAAACTTAATTATCCCATAAGAAATAAAGGAAATGGCAGGGGTTAGGAGAAAAGCTCTTAAAAACTCTATTTGTTTATCTATTTCCTTCAATATGTTTTATTTACAATAATATAATACTAATAATACAATAATAGAAGCAAACCTAATAATACAATAGTTGTAGTAAGAAAATCGATTTTAAATGAAAACTTTTGCTAACTTACGTTCAATGAGGAGTGGGATGGCGTGTGGGAATTAGTGGTGATGGAGGAGAGGTGGGGGTTATTGGGAGGGAGTCATCTGAATCAGATGACAGAGCAGGCAATGGGGGAGGAGAAGTGGGAGCTTTCAAGATGCCAGATGTCAATGGCTGAGGTTCAAGTTATTTTACTTTTTCCTTTTTCAAAAAATAGGAAAGCAATGAGGTACTGAACCATGCTGCCTGGCGGTATGGCACTCTTTTCAAATCCGTGCTAGTTAATAAAACATCGTGTTACAGGGGGCCCCCCAAATTCGTGTGGGTTAGGTTCTCAAAATGGCCGCGAATCGCCAAATCCGCGAATAGTATATGTGGAAAATATTAATAAAGCACAGACTTGAGGGTAGACTGTCACATTTGTAATAAATTTGCTTCAGATTATTGAGAGAGTATTTCCCATTATTATTTATTTGTATGTGTTTTGTGTTTGTGTGCCTGTGTGTGTCTACACACACAACATATAAACAAAACAGGTAAAAGAAATAATTGTCCTAAGGGCAAACACATAAAGGGAATAAACATTTCTTTGTACACAAGTAAAAATGTAGGCCCCCCCCCCCACCCAAACACAGTTCCGCAAATGTTATTCGCGGCCATTTTTGAGAACCTAACCCACACGAATTTGGGGGGCCCCTGTACCTCCGTTTTTTATAGCTGCCTACTACCTAAAGTATTACCTTTACCTTAACTTATTTTTTACTTTCATTTACTGTATTTTGTCATTCTATTTCTGCTTTTCTCTTAAATTAAGTGATTTTTCATGTATGTAAGGACTTAGTCTATGATATAGTGGGATTTTAAAAAAAATTCTGTAAATTTGGTATCTTATATACTAAAGTGCTTTTTTGTTTCTACTGGATGCACATAACTGCACATTACCTTGATATCAGAGCAAATAACAGAATTAATATGCACTTTAATGTAAAAAATTAGATGGAACCTTGATGGTACCTTAAGTGATTTATTATGACTAGGTTTAAAGTGAACTCAATTCTTCATGATGTAATTATAAAATAAAATACAGGACTACAGTGAGTTCTGCTATAATGCGTGTTTTGACAACGCGAATTGGCTCTAACGCGATTGATGAATAGAGGAACAATATTTGTAAAACGCGAACTCGTTTGCTCTAACGCGATTCCACTCGAACAGTTGTTATGTTGTTATGGCTTGGCGCGGGGTTATGCAGTGTTTACAGTTCACGTTGGACATCACATGTTCAATTGAGTTATGTGTTTTGTTTGTGAAGAATTGCAGAAATAATTTATGTAATATTTATGTATACAGTAAACCTGTCTAACATACCGTAAAAGAACAATATACCCCGGAAATAAACACAGCTGCTATCATCACCACCCTCCCATTTGCCAGTGACAAGAAGGGAAAGTGACCTTGACTGTGACCGCCTGTGGCTATTTTTAGCCGTCCTTGTGTTCGGAGGTGGTCAGTAATGCATACAGTATCTGTATATTTACTGATCATAATACTTACCTCCTATAAATAATTCATTTAAAATTTATTTTTTTACAAAGAATATTCAGTAAATGACTGCGTTAATTCTTGAAACTACCTACAGTGGTAAATTTAGGATATAAATGATGAACAGAAGTCACGTCATGGATTCGGAGTTTGGTCCTTAATGATCACCATAAATGTCTGGTCAACTTGACCTACCAGGTATAATGGTAGCCTCCATTTTTTGCGAAACAAGTATATAAATTAAAGAAAATACTTGCAGTATATTTAATATATTACAGTATATTGTAAATAAATAAATAAACAAATAAATCGGCAAATCTATTTCAAGTAAATGGAAATATTTTACTCACACCGACATTAGTTCCAGTTAAATAACTGACGCTCAAGTGAGTCACTAGTGTACACCAGCCGGTGCCAATACTTTAAGTGAATTGGCCTTATTTTAAATAACCAACCATAAATAAATGCAAAAAGGAAAAAAGATCAAAGGTGAGAAAAATTATATTGTATGTATGTTGTGTTGTCAAAGGAAGAGAAACAATTGAAACTCTGCAATTGTGTGTAAATGAGGCAGAAAGAAAGATCAGCAACCTAAGACTTGGTCACAATTTTCGTGATGCCATATGGAAGTAGGATCTACCATTAGACAATACTGCACATTATGCTTCCAATATCTTCCCAGGCGGTAGTATCTCCCTGTTTGGTAGCTGCCTAAAATTTTTAGTAATATTACTTTGATACAACATGATAAATTAGACAAACAATGAAAATAAACAAAAAGTTATTTACCAAGACCTTCTCTCTGAGAACAGAGGGTAATAGATGGAGAGGAGATAAGAAGGCTATTTATAGCCTGTCTTTGTGTAGGAAGTCGACTGCACTATAAATAATTCATTTCAATTCAATTTCAATTGTTTATTCCTTGATAATTCATTTAAAATTTTTATTTTTTACATAGAATATTCAGTACATGACTGTGATTATAAAATAGGCCGAGATATATGGTATGTAATATTTATGTGTGTGTGATGTAAACAGAGCGCTTGGCCTCTCTCTCTCTCTCTGTATGGGTGGAATTCCTGGTTTACAGTGAGTGATAGGAATGTTGTAACATTACTAGGCTGAAGGCGCCTGAATACTACTTAAACACATCAAAACTATGTTAATTGATCACTGTATAATAAATTCATTCACTCATAATTTCAAATTCACTTATCATCCTGTGTTATATACAGAAATACTTGAGTCCCTGAGCGAGTACACAAAAAGAAAACGGAGGACTAAGACATCCGGATGTGGATAGAGAACGGACATCTCTACTGGGGGACTCAAACGTTTCTTATGTTTTGTGGGCGCTGTAGCATAATATGAATAATATGTAAATTACAATTTACTTATATATATATGTAATTTGTAAAAATTTAAATAAAAGAAAAACTAAATACGTAGCATTTAAAGTGTACTGTACAGTGTTGTGGCTTGGCGCTGGGTTATGCAGTGTTTACAGTTCACGTTCGACATCACATGTTCAATTGATTTACGTGTTTTGTTTGTGAACAATTGCAGAAATAATTTGTGTATTATTTATGTATACAGTATACCTGTACAGTATATGTAAATTGTAAAATTTTAAATAAGAGAGAAAAACAAAATACATAGCATTTTAGACCCGCGCGCTCTGTTACTCCACACTTTCAGTTTGAAACACGTGTGAAGTTTTTAAGCGTCCTCAGTGAATTCTGATTACTGTTTCTCCAATTTTGTGACTATGGAAAAGAAGAATATCTCCGGGAAGTATTCTGGTGATCGCATTTCCGGCGGTGATCGTAAAAGAAAGGCTATAACACTTGAAGAAAAGCTTGATGTTTCATGACTCCTCAGCCTCAACATCAACCTTCTCCCCCATCAAGTTATATTCATATTTTTTCAAGGTAAAGTGTAACATTTACTGTATGATTTCATTATTAGATATGAATGTAACATTTATTTAGACTGTGCTATCCTTTGTGTTAGGCTAACTACGAAATTTTTTTTCGATTTAGAGTAATCTGCACCAAACCCAATTTTCTCCATAAGCCCTGTTATTTCTATTACGCGAATTTCTATAACACGATGTTTTACAAGAACACAACTATCGCGTTATAGCAGAACTGACTGTATTCATAATTTGTAGACTATAATAATGGGTTTACTTTATGATTCACTCTAGCATTATGACTACTTTATGAAATAATTTGTATTCATAATTTATCCACAGGTAAGTACTGTATATTCATGAAAAATTTTCTACGAACTACTGAACTACTATAAAAATTAGTGATAGAAAGGTCACAAACCTTTTGCCACGTGAATAGTGTCTAGTGTATTCTCCGATGTCATGACAAGCAACTGACAACACCAACGTGTCCTTGCTTGTTTCTAGAAGGTGAATCAGAATCTTGAGCAGCTCATAATTCTTCTCATTCAGTCGTCCAGCATTCTCACGCCAGAACTTTTCACTCTTGTGAACTGGGGACCATTCCATGCGACCAGATTTTACTTCTGAGCAGTACTCCTCAAATGAGCTGTCATAAAGGACATAAACCACTGTGGCATATGATATAATTTTTTGGACAGTAGTTGCATTACAGTGATTCATGAAAGCCATGCTTGCAATTTCTGTTGTCGATAGTTTGTTGAAAAACACCGATGGACAACAACAGTGGAAATTTACTGGCTCCTAATTTCTGATCATATTTTGGTGGCAAAGAGAAATCCGTCAGGGATAAATACTACAGATATCACAAGAAATTATACCGGCCAAGCAGCAACTACAACCAATGCACCTTGACAAAAGTGAACAAATATTACCTTAAATCCTGGATTGAATTCTGCAGTTTTTCATTCAGGAATTCTATGTCAGCAGTAATGTCTTCATCCTCAAACTTCCTCTGAGCTAAAATCTCAAGCTGCTTCAAAACCTGATCATACAAAACAAAATTACATATTTTATATCTACTTAAATATAATACAGTACAGTAATATGATATGCAGAGCAAAAACAGTCATAAAATCTATTGATTAAATCCCAGAATTTTAATTTTCCAGGTAGTTTAATATATGATACAATAATACCATTTCATGTTTGTGTCAATTAAATCACCAATCTATGTGCCAAACTTTGCTTATTGAATCGAATTGAAGCTTGTTCACTGAATTTTCATACCCTAAAACACTAAGTACATTCAGTTTAATGTAATTAGTGTTTTAGGGTATGAAAATTCAGTGAACAAGCTTCATTCAATCCAATAAGCAAAGTTTTGAGTCAACCAGCTCACATTTTATTTTGTGAAGTGACACTGTTAACCTTTGTCTGTTTGAATAGCCAGCAACGCTATTGCACTCCTACTCATTTTATATACTCTGAGGTGAAGTCAGTAGTGAACTTACCCACCTGGATACTGAGTGAGCCTACACAGTATGATGGCATTTGTTTTCTGGCCACAGCCAATATCCCGTGCACTTTTGCTTTTCACAATACTGTATTCTTTTGTTACTCAGAAAGCATTGTGAATTCTAACCAGGTGTGTTACACTTAATATGCCTCAAAAGTAGTGCAAAAGTGCAATTTTTTTTTTTTTTTTCAAGGGGACTAGCCCACCCAGGCACAGGTCACTGACCCACATCGGGGCCTGGGGGGCGAAAATGTAATAATAATAATAATAATAATAATAATAATAATAATAATAATAATAATAATAATAATAAAAATAATAAAGAACCGTAAGGAAATACAAAATGAAAAAAAGATCAATATATGAATGTTGTGTTGTCAATAGTACGAGAAACAATTGAGACCCTGCAATTGTGTGTAAATGAGGCAGAAAGTCAGATCAGCAGCCTTGGACTTGGTCACAATTTTTGTGATGCCACATGGCAGCAGGGTCTACCATTAGACAATACATTATGCTTCCAATATCTTCCCAGGCAGTAGTACCTACCTGTTTGGTAGCTACCTACTACAAAAAAAATTTGGAAATTCCCCAAAAAACTCAATAAGGGTCAGAGGAGAATGACAAGATTAATCCCGGGCATTAGGAACCTTGAGTAGAGACAGGTTAAAGCATCTTAATTTGCACTACCTCGAGAGACGTAGAGTGAAGGCCGATATGATGGGGGTATACAAATGGAAGTCAGGGCTAAACAAAGGTGACATTACAAAGGAACTCAAACTATCCAACCAGGAGTGAACTCATAACAATGGTTATAAATTAGACAAATTTAGATTTAGGCGTGAAATAGGTAAACATTGGTTTGGAAATAGAGTAGTGGACGAGTGGAACAAGTTACCAAGCATCATCATTAACTCGAATACGCTGGATAGCTTCAAACATAGGTTGAATGGATATATGAGCAATAGGGGTTGGGTGTAAATGGGACTGCCCAGTATGGGCCAATAGGCCTGCTGCAGTTTCCTCCATTCTTATGTTCTATGTTTTTATGTACTGTATGAGAAGTCTGAAATAAAAAAAAATTATAACAAAGAAGAAACATGACACATCACTTAAGTTTTCAACACTTCGGCTCCAAGTTCATAAACACGTATGAATGAAGAATAAAAAGATATCCAGTAATATTAATATAATTTTTTTTTTTCACCCATATAAAACTTGAGAATAAATAAGGAAAATTTTGGCTATCTTGGTGCTTAGTGGCCTGACTGGCAGTGTGGGTTAGAGTGGATATCTGAATTTTTTATTTCTAAACTTAAATGCACCACTTTCTCTTATGTTTTCCCTCTTCTTTGAGGTACTCTAAATTAACTTCAGAAGTCTGCACATGAATCATTGGAGCACCATCTTGTAGTTTATGATTAACTACTTTGTCATATACGTATTTACCCTCAGCGTCGAATACCTTGCATTGTCACATAACCAGTTACTTTGCTTAACAGTTATAATTAAATACTCAATGTTAATCAAGAGTACTGCATCACCATTACTTGCCTTGCACTGGACCATCTGAATGCAATTTTCTCGAGCAATAGCGGGGTCCTCAGGCTTGTCAATGAGGTTCCTGAAGACTGCCAATACAATACGAGTAACTTTTTCTTTGACACTCTCACTGAGGATGTCTGCTAGAGAAGGGATCACACTGTACCTGTAGAAATACAAATACTAAAGTAGTAGTAGGATAGTTAATTTTAATGTAATAAAATGACAGCAAAGGTGTGGCTATGAGCCATTGTAAAAAAAAGAGAAAAAAGTAGTAGTACTGTAGTAGTAGTAGTAGTAGTAGTAGTAGTAGTAGTAGTAGTAGTAATAATAATAATAATAATAATAATAATAATAATAATAATAATAATAATAAAAATAATAATAATAATAATAATAATAAAAATAATAATAATAATATTTTAAAAATAATATAAACGTGAAGCTTTACATAGAACAATCTGAAATTCCAAAAACAATATAAATAGGGGATTAATCTTGAAATCCCATTTCATAACAAAGTCTGGTTTTGGCATCTTAATATATAGTTAGCCAAGTCTATGGGATAAAAAACAAGGTTTGTCCCTACACTGGTGATAATTACTCCATTTTTAAAAATTATATGAGAACTGATGGATATTGGCAGTTGCTGCTCACAACCAAAGTCTAAATTTTGCGGTCACAATTACACAGGAGCTTCACATCCCTAATTTGGTTCGGCCATAAACTGTCACCCAATGGATCATACCTCAGTTCCAGTTCACATCAGTACCACATTTTAGGAGGGAAAGAGGACAAATGGAGTCGTCCAACTTAGGTTCAGTTATAAAATGGGATTTCAGGATTACTCCCTCAATTATGACCTAATGCATGGTTTAGTTAACTTATAGATCTAAAGCTATCAAGGTGTAGGGAGGAAGGAGTAAAAAATTAATTCCTAATGCTGGTGCAACTCACACTGAACAAGGAGAGTAAGACTACCAAAGCAACTATATTCAGCTAGGAATTAACCCTTCCAACCCTTTAATGCTATGCTTTTTTAAATAGAGTATTCTACTAATGACAAATATATATATGGTTAACCCAATGCCTGGGCACCATCTAATGAAGGTCAATGAATATGAAAAGCCTGAGGACTAGAAACCAAGTAAAACTGGCCAGATGAAGCAAGTATAATGAATTAAAAAACAGAAGCCCTGCATCCACTGTATTATATAGTTCCTGGAGCTCTCACAGATTTAACATAAACTCATACAAAATAAAATATACATTTCATCTGTATAAATTTTGTTACTACATTGTTCAACAGAAACTTTTAAAACATATATCAATAACTCAGTTTACTACAGATTATGATTGGAATTTTGTGGTGTTTATAATGAAAATGATGGGTTGGGAACTAAAAAGTTTGGTAAATTTTTTTTTTATCAATTTGCAAAAATGCATTTGACTACAGTGATACCCTGATTTATGCGGTCAATTGAACCCACGGGGTGCCACGTAAAACGAAAACCGCGTAAATGAACAACAGAACAAATGGGATTAATTCCAATAGAGACTGGGTTGACCCCCAAACTCCACTTTTTGACGACACAAAACTAAGTTGCAGTAAAAATATTATCTTAACTTTATGAAGGTATGCACATACACATAATATAGAGGAGAAATATCAATAATAGAATAACATACTGTACCAGGTAAAAGAAAAATCAAGGTGTAACACTTACGTCAGGTTAGGTTAGGTTAGAAAAAATAAAGGTTTAACACTTACATAAGGTTAGGTTAGGAAAAGTCAAGGTTTAACACTTACGTAAGGTTAGGTTAGGAAAAATAAAGGCTAGGTTTAACACTTACGTTAGTAGAAGAGATGGGTCGGCATATGGGGATGGGGGCTGGTTCCGAGGCAGAGGGCAGATTACTGGCCCTCAGGTGAATCACCATCACTATCCACCATAGCCGTCAGGGCCTCCCTAACAAATCCATCAAAGTCACCTTCACTATCACTGTCACTATCACTGGCTCGGGCTGGCTGTGGTAGGTTGTGGGCGAAGAACTCGGTAATGCTTTTTTGACGGCTAGTGTTGATGTTGTCTTGATACACTTTGATGTACGGCTCCATACCCTACACCAGCCGGGTATGGAAGACTTCATAGCGGTCATCATCATGGTCGTTGGAAAGGAAAAGCTTCAGTTTCTCTGCACACTCGGTGGCACCCTTAACATTAATATGCGTTAACTTGTGTTCTTCTGGGGTTGACGCACCACCCGCCTCTTCACTGACGTGATCATCTTCCAAAATCTCGTTGGCAGTCATTTCAGGATCTTTGATCACCTCCAGGATGTCTTCGTTGATGGTCTCGGAGAAGCCTTCAGCTGTAATACTGTGCGCAGCTTCTCTCGCAAGATCCAATGCCACTGTAACAGACTGAACCTCATCAGTCACAGATTGACTCCTCCTCTCACCTGGGATGCCATGCAACACATGCCTCCATGCCTGACGAATCGTAGCTACAGACAGATGATCCCATGCCTCCACCAAGAAGTTCACAGCTTGTTTGACGTTAAATTTTTTCCAAAACTGTTTGACGAGAACTTCTTGATTCACCACCTGTTGTTCCTTGTCCTCGCCTTCGTCCTCGTCGCTTTTGCTCTTGGTGTCACCCAGCTTACGCAACTCATCCTTGGTGTTGGTACAGTCATTCAGGAGCTTAAACTTCTTTGCGGAGTATGCAGCTTTCACATTGCATAACAACTCCTGGTCCATGGGCTGGATTAATGACGTAGTGTTGGGAGGAAGGAAGACCACTTTTACGTTGGGGTGATCATCCTTAAATAGTGGCGAGTGTCCTGGTGCATTGTCAAGGAGCAACAGAATGTTGATTGGAACATTCTGTTGCTCGCAGAATTTCTTCACGTCGGGAATGAAACAGTCATCAAACCAGGAGTGACAGAGCAGAGAACATCCACGCTTTACGTGCGGTCAGCCAGTGGACATTAATCTTGCTCATGTCCACGTTCTTGTAGGCGTGTGGCTTGCAAGCTGTGTGAATCACCGATAACTTGAGTTTACAGGTACCGGAGACATTGGTGGTAAAGATGACGGTGATGCGCTCCTTCTGCAACTTCCGGCCCCGAATCTTGCTGGCAGACTGGACAACGAAGGTCTTGGTAGGTAGCTTTTTCCAAAATAGACCGGATTCATCCATGTTGAACACCTGGTTGTCGGTGTACTGGCCTTCCTCCATAACCTCACGTAAGAACGGAGGAAAATTTCTAGCCGCCACATGGTCAGCACTCGCTTCTTCACCACCAATGTTGATGTTGGTGTTCTTGTTCCTCTTCTTAAACCTATGCAGCCAACCAGAGGAAGCATTGAAGGGTTTGGGCTCTGCAATTCCCATCTTACGTGACACTGCTGCGTACAGTTCACGGGCGTACTCTTGAACGGATCGCGTGTCGACCGCCATGTTGCGTCGCGCCTGACGAATCAAGTAACTCACTCGCAAATTTTCAACCTTTAGCAGCACCTTGTTCTGGCAATACTTGATCGTTGAAGCACCTGCAGACTTTGTGATTCTCAAGTGTTCTTTGATCTTGGCTACATCCTTCTTAATAGTACGAATAGTAGATTCGTTGACTCCATGCTGGCGCGCAAGATCAGCTTGACATGTTCCTTTCTCCAACTCTTGAATGATCTTGTATTTCACTTCGTAACTTAGGGAACGTCGTATCTTCTTTGGCTTAGGGCAGCTGGGTCCAGGTAATGCAAGGTTTTTCTCTGGGGACGGTGGTCCGGCGGAAGCCATTTTACAGAACAATGGATACTGGTTTACACGGTGTGGCCTGGAGGGATGCAACTGACGCGGCTAGGTCAAGCGTCGTCTTTCCTCCCTCCCGCGGGTGGACACGTCATATTACTTTAAACCAATCACAGCTAGCGACGGAGGGAGGTAAGGATGCGTATCACAGTCCGATACATCATATGACGTCACCAATAACGCAACAGAGACATCCACTGCGCAACCAACCCGCGCAGCTTGCCCAAGCAGGAGAAGGCGGAAGCGTCGCGCCAGACACTCTACGCGTATATGAGTAGATGCACCACGTAAAATGAAAGTCCGGTTCTGGCGAGGTACCGCGTAAATGTAGAATCGCGTAAAGCGGGGTATTACTGTATACTGTAGTGTACAGTAATTCTCATTTCTGATATAAAAAATCATTGTTAGTAACGTTTACACCAATCTGTTCTGTAAATAAATGAGATACTGGCATAAAGATACAACTTACTTGTTCATTTTCTCTGCAATGGCATTGTTGAAAGTCAACACCCAGAGGCAGAAGGTCAACTGATACTGTATCTGGAAGTTGAGTTTTCCTGTACTGAGCACCTGTGGGAAGAGGGAAAATTTAGTCCTCAATGAAACATAGGTCTTCCATTTTCATTTAATTAATACTATGAAAAGACATTCAACTTTTAAATAAATAGTACGGTTATAACATAGCACACTATAAAAATACAGTACAGTACGTACAGTACTTGGTAGTACTGTAATGCTAATTCTAGATGAAGAAGCAAGCCAACAAATACCTATGGGACCAAATTTGCTTGATCATTAATATGCACTATTACACATTAGAGTGAGAAAAAAAAATGCTCTGAAGGTTTCAGAAAAGAGGATGAAGTATTTGAAGAATCCAAATTCCGGTGTTTTCAAAATGAAAAGCTCTGCAGTTTTATTTTATTTTTTACTAACTTGACTCATTGGTGAAGCAGATGAAATATTGCATACCCGAATTAGATTTGGATTTGCTCAACATACAATGCTTAGAACATAAACAAATAGCAGGAAATACTGTCATTCTGTCAATAAGACATTGAGAGTACATTTCTTGAATGAATTCATGATTGCATTCTGAGCAATAAAACTACTACATTTTATGGCACATAAGACTCATGGCTATGGAAGATGCACCCCCCATTTTAGCAGGGAGTATTTAGGAAAAAAATTGCATGTATTTTCCTCCTGTAGCCATAGTTTTCTTAAAATAATTACATATATACAGTGAGTTCTGCTATAACGCGTGTTTTGATAACGCGAATTTGCTCTAACGCGATTTATGAATTAGGAACGATATTTGTATAACGCGAACGCTTGTTTGCTATAACGCGATTTTTGCTTACTATTTCTCCAATTTTGTGGTACAGTGGGGTGTGCTATAACGAATCTAATTGGTTCTAGAACCTTGTTCGTTATAGCATTCGTTCGTTATAGGATTAATCCGTTCCAGGCCCCCAAATACAACCACTTAACACTGAAAAATATAATATAAAATTGTAAAAATTGTAAAAAAGTGCATAAATATGCATCTAAACCCCTGAAATAAAGAATATCATTAATATTTGTAATAAAAAAACAATAAATTAGAAAAAAAAAATTAAATAATGTTCGTTGTAGGAGTTTCGTTCGTTATAGCATTCTCAATTTTATAGGTAAAACCGTTCGTTATAGGAATATTCGTAGTAGGATCCGTTCGTTATAGGAATATTCGTAGTAGGATCCGTTCGTTATAGCATACCCCACTGTATTAACTGTGAATATAGTAAAGAAGAATATCAACAAGAAGCGTTCTGGTGATAGAATTCCCGGTGATGATCGTAAAAGAAAGGATATAACACTTGAAGAGAAGCTCGATTTTATCAACCTCAAAATCACCCTTCTCCCCCATCAAGTAAAGTGTTACATTTACTGAATGATTTCATTATTAGATATGAATGTAACATTTATTTAGACTGTGCTATCCTTTGTGTTAGGCTAACTACTAAATTTTTTCGATTTCGAGTAATCTGCACCTAACCCTATTTTCTCCATAAGCCCTGTTATTTCTATTACGCGATTTTCTATAACACGATATTTTACAAGCACACAATTATCGCGTTATAGCAGAACTACCTGTACAGTACCAGTAAATGTGAGAAATAAATAAAAATAATACCAATTAATAAGTTACAAAAAAACCTGCATTGCCAAACCAGTAAATAAAAGACAAATGAAAGTTTAAACAGTCGCAATTTGCATATACAACTGTATTCCCTGTTCACCATAGCAACAGTAACGCCAGCTCCACCGATTTCCTATCAACGCTCCCCCCCACCACTAACTGCCCAGCAGTCCTCCTGTTCCCCCACTAAGCCAGCTAACTCATGTTCAAACAAATGTATATTCCTTTTATGTGTTTGCCCTAAGGACAATCATTTCTTTTACTTTTTTTCACAATATGTATGTAGGAGGGTGTGTGCATGTATACCAGTAAAAATAAATGAAGAAAGTTAAATTATATCTACTCGAAAACACGAGTTGAAAAACAACAGCTTGGCCCAGTAACCTGTACAGTATATATATATATATATATATACAGCTGCTCCCCGACTTACGACGGGGTTAGGGACCGACATCCAGGTTGTAAGTCGAAATGGTCCTAAGTCAGAAATGCTTAAATAATACATAGAAAATCTAAAATGGGGGTCTCTTTCTTCTCAGCATCACAAAACACTCACTTTTAAGCTTGCCAGCCATTTTAAAGTGAATTACAGATGAAAATTTTGTCAGTGTACTGACTTTGGGACTCGAAAATCCGTAATTTGACTAAATTTTGGTACAACTGAGGCAGGTTGTAAGTGCGGGTGGACGTAAGTCGAGTAGATAGTAAGTCGGGGAGGAGATGTATGTATGTATGTATGTATGTATGTATGTATGTATGTATGTATATATATATATATATATATATATATATATATATATATATATATATATATATATATATATATATATATATATGTATGTATGTATGTATGTATGTATGTATGTATGTATGTATGTATGTATATATATATATATATATATATATATATATATATATATTTCATTGCCTGTCTCGAAAGATGACTTCATTGAACTCATCAAACTATGTATTAAGGATTGTAAATTTGAATTCAATGGAGAATATTATGCTCAAAAATTTGGTATGGCAATGGGTAATCCACTCTCACCTGTATTAAGCAAGCTATATATGGAATTCTTTGAAAAGAAACTATTAAGTAATATCTTACCACCTTCAGCAGTCTGGTTTAGATATGTAGATGATGTATTATGTCTCTGGCCAAGTAATGAGGACCTAAAAGCTTTCCTGCCACAACTTAATAACTTAGCCCCCTCGATCAAATTCACTGTGGAATTAGAGCATGACTGTAAATTGCCATTCCTAGACTGTCTGAACCACAGAATAGGTAACACCTTTAAGTTCAGTATTTATAGAAAACCTACTAATGTGTGTTCATACATTCATTATTATTCTGCCCACCATAATAGAGTCAAACAGTCAGTATTTTCAACAATGTTTTTACGTGCTTTGAGAATTTGCAGCCCGGAATTCATTGATGAGGAATATAAATATATCTATAATATTGGCTCAAACCTTAAATACCCTAGATCTTTCATAGACAAATGCCTGAACATTACTAAGAAATCTTTTTATAGAACTGATCCCAAGCCCACCCATGACCATAAGAATCTCTTAGTATTACCATTTCACAAAAAATTTCTCTCAACTTCCTTTACAACTAAAAGCCAGGAACGTCAATGTGGCATTTAAAAACTCATGCACTGTTAAACAAATGTTAATCAAGAATTCCCCCAACAATACAAATGGCTGCATTTATAAAGTCCCTTGCAAGGAATGTAATATGTTATACTTAGGCCAGACAGGTAAAGATCTTGTAACTAGACTTAATTAACATAAATATAATGTTAGGACAGGCCAGGAATCCAATGCTTTGTTTGCTCATTTGAGGGATAATAAACATGGCATTGACTGGGATAATGCCTCCTCAATATTACCTTGTAATTCAATTGACAGTAGGAACATTATAGAATCTAGTCTCATTAAACATACCGAATCCGTTAACATGAATTTGAGTAAATGGTATTTACAAATTGGACAATTTTGTAATTAATAAGATTTGTAACCAGGTGAGAAGGTTGGGTCAGTTTTCCCTCTGACCTGACTACAGACCGCTGTGGTGCTTTTGTGAAGATTAGTAGGGTCATTACCTATACTTGACCTCTGTGGACCTGATCTCACCCTCCTCTGTATATATATAACTTGTTCTGCACTTCTACTTTAGTTTGTACTCACCCCTGAAGATGTGAATTACACGAAAGCGCTAAGGAACTTCGTGTTTTCTTTTTCCTTGTGGTTATCAGCATATACCTGAATCACGCGTACCTACAGTGATTTATTTGCATATATATATATATATATATATATATATATATATATATATATATATATATATATATATATATATATATATATATATATATATATATATATACACATACATACATACATACATACATACATACATACATACATTACATACATACATACATACATACATATATATATATATATATATATACATATATATATATATATATATATATATATATATATATATATATATGTATATATATATATATATTGTTTCGTTGTTTCCATTTTCGCAGGATTTTATATATATATATATATATATATATATATATATATATATATATATATATATATATATATATATATATATATATGCAAGTAAATCACTGTAGGTGCAGGATCTGTATATGCTGATAACCACAAGGAAGAAGAAAACACGGTTCCAAGCGCTTGTAATTCACATCTTCAGGGTGTTTTCTTCTCCTTGTATATATATATATATATATATATATATATAAGGAAGAAGAAAATAAGTTATTAATTAGGTGTTTTTTTTTGTTATATATATATATATATATATATATATATATATATATATATATATATATATATATATATATGTATATATATATATATATATATATATATATATATATATATATATATATATATATATATATATATATATATATATATATATATATATATATATATATATATTATTTTTACAGTAGTATTCTCGATTTATGTGTCAATTGAACTCCGGGTACATGAAAGTGAACAACAGACCATATGGGATTAATTCCAATAGAGACTGGGTCCACTCTAAACTCCATTTTTCCAACACAATACCTGTGTTGTAGTAAAATTAACATTTAATTTTATGATGGTATGCACACACAATTAATATTTAAGAGAAATTCAGTCGCCAGGTTAATGTCTATTCAAATACTGGACTCAATTCCCCGTCTTCCCAGCTCACTGGCTCCTACCCCTCTGAGAAATGTTTGGGTGAAACACTAGATTTTAACGATAGTAATAAATAAACCAGACTAAACTTAGGATAATATAATTGACATTTCTGGATTCTGTAAAGTCAGGAATATTTTGAATGTAAACTTCATATATTTTGCACAAAAGATAAATATTTGCTTTTGTAAACCAAATTATTACATTAGATCTAAAATTTGTGTCTAATGCAAAATCCATGATGTTTATACTCAAATGATCGTCATATTGCAAGAATTTCCAGCAATGTAAATTATATTCTGGCCGGGTAATTTGTATGAATTTTATGAGCTAAAACAAATATCTTCAGTAAATAAACAAAGAAATATTCTTCAAGGACACTATCTGTCAATCAAAATACCCCACCATGTGTTTCACTTTATGCGATTCTACATTTACTACACGTACCGCCAGAACCAAAATTTCATTTTACGCGGTGCATCTACTCATATAAGCGGGTGATATAATTTTTATTTAGCTCATAAAATTCATACAAATTACCTGGCCAGAATATAATTTACATTGCTGGAATTCTTACAATATGACGATCATTTTGAATATAAACAGAGGCATTTCGGATTTCGAATTTTTGTTTTCAGAATTTTTATTTTATTATTTTTTTTAGCCCACCCGAGCACAAGTCACTGACCCACATTGGGGCTGGGGGCGAAAATATAATAATAATAATAATAATAATAATAATAATAATAATAATTATTCATAGGTCTAGGTCGTGTTTTCACTTTTAATCTTTTTTTTCATTCTTATTTTTATTATTATTATTTTATTAATACAGTATTATTGTTATATTATTATTATAATTAGTATTACTATTACATATTTGCCCAGGCCTCGATGGGTTAGTGATCTATGCCTGGGTGGGCTAATCCCTGTTTAAAAAAAAAAAAAAAAAAAAAAAAAAAAATGCTCCACAAAAACTTTCGGTTTTGTTTTGGTTTTCGTAATTTCGGAAGGTTGTCAACCTGTATAAAAATTTACAATGATTGAATAGTACAACCTTCTTGATATTTACTAAAATGGTAAGGAATTTAAGCCCTAGAACCGATTACTGTATTGGCGGACTAATACGACAGCTAGTGAGCAAGCTAAAAACATGTTGAGGGCGCCGAAGGAATTTGTTAATCGAGGATTTAACCGAAGTGAAGAATCTTATGGAAGGCAATTTGTTAACCGAAATTACTTAACCGAGGCGCTGTTAACCGAGGATCACTGTGTGCGTGTGTATATATATGTATGTATATATGTGTGTATATATATATATATATATATATATATATATATATATATATATATATATATATATATATATATATATATATATATATATATATATATATATATATATATATATATATATATATATAGACCAACAGCAAAAATAGCAATTCATATAACTAATTCTAAAACCCATCTAACTAGTTTGTATTTACAATGTTTCACACTTAAGAGAATAAAGTCCAATGCCATTAGTGGGAAAAAAAAGAGAGAATAAACATTGTGGCATCTGACCTGTACGATGGTGACAACACCATCCAGCTGGTAGAAGATGGTGCGATATTCCTCGACTCTTAACATCATCTGGAGACATCGTCCCACCGACTGCATGTATTCATTGTTCTGTGAACATTATATTCAGGTAAGATATTTCACAACCCTTCTTGTTATACCAAATGTCAATATTTTCTTGAGATTTACCTAATACAGTATATAAATCACAAACCAAGTAATATTAAGATGTTAAGAGTTACTGTACTCTGTAAGTGACTGTTAATGTGTGTCTATGGGGACAAGTACAGTATACAGTACAGCAAAGCCTCGGTTACATGGACTACCCCAAAAATGGAGTAGACAATTTTCCATGTACATACAGTAAATATATACAGCATTTTGCACATTGAAGGTAAACAAAAACACTAAAATGACCAACGGAAATTAATGAATTTTAACCCCTCAAAAATGCTATACTGTACCTATATAGTTTGCCCCCTTACTTTTTGCATTAAAATTTTTTATCATAAAAACTTGAAATGTACTTAAGTATAAACGGTATACTGTACACATCAACATCATCCATTTTATCTCACACTGCACAAGGCCATCCATACCATACACGTATGTTCTAGAATCTAGAACTTCACCTGTATCTATTAATACTTTAAATAAAAACAACTGTATTTTACTTGAACTAATTTATTATGAGCATAAATAAGCCAATCTGTGTTAGTGTAATTATGCTGGCTGTTGTTTGGAACAGTTGTGCCTCCCTGCTAATATGAACGTCCAAATAACAGATTCCTTCTCAGCAACAACATTGCTGTGGCTTAATTAGTCCGGTACTCGGGGTCTTTACTGGATTTCATCTTTACTCTTCATGAGTTAGCAATAGCATTTTTTTCAGCTTGAATTGACTACCACTTGCTTACCAGATCAGCCAACATCTACTTTTTTCAAGCAATTTTCAGCTGTAATCTAGAGTAAAGAAAACAGGGATTAAATCATTCTGTTTACAAGCCACTGTGTTGTAAAACAATTGCATGCTTACATGAGGAAGAATTAACTAAGCACTGCACTTATGTATCACACCTTAACGTATACAGAACATATCCTGCACCTCACGGATAATTATTACATTGCTCTCAAAAGGAAAATCCATACATCCATGTAAAAACAAGCTGGCATTAGGATTTTTTTAAGAATCCCTTGTGCATAAGTGAATTTTGTGAAACCGGGGTTTTACTGTATACAGGTATTTATACAAATGATTAATTTACAGTACATGCTATAATTCCCATGTTATGTCTTCATTTTCATGTGTTTCTCTCTCCATACATTCACATATTCATGTGTGCATATAACTATGCATGCATGTATCAATTTATGTCCTTATATAAACAATATATATTGACTGGGTCAGTGACCTGCAAGCACAAAATTTAAATAATGAATATTATCTAGATAAAATTACATTCCATGACCAGACAATATAATGAAAAATAAATATGAAACTGACTTAAAATTCATATGAATGAAACATGGCAATTCTGTTCAAATCCTCAACCAGTAAATGAAGCTGAAATCATAATGCCAAACAAAGGCTTGGAGAGCAAGACACATCCCTCATGATAGATCAGTCACCAGAGCTATAGTGTGAGTGTTTAAATGATATATATTCAAATCTAAATTCAGAAATAAAACTTGAGAGGTTTAGTGATTAGTAATATGTACTATACAAGAAACCTTTAGCTTGGCCTTAAATCAGAGCATCACAGAAAACAGTAATGATGTAAAATACAAAGACAAAGCCCTGAAGGACAAAAGAGAAACAGGACAAGATGAGACTACACATACAATGCATCAAGCTGCAGCACACACAGACAAGTCCTTAAATGGTAAAAAGTTGTAAGCATAATATGTTAGTTATTCACTCAGAAAAATACAACTGGAGTACTCATAGTCTAAAATCTTACATCAGTTATTTGCCCCAGAAAACTAAATATGGAAGTGTTTAGACTATATTATCAATATTACAACTTATTATTTCTAAAGGTTATCACCCATCAACCTGAAATTATAATGCACATTTTAAAAGATACAGTGGAAAGCCATTTATCCAAACACAGTAAAAAGAGATTAGGTTCCCATTACCAGAATTGCTTGCCAAAACTGATATTTCACTGTAAAGATATATAAGGGTTGAAATTAGGCCACTAACCTGAACCAAAAAGTTCATTATCAATAAATTACCTGAACAGACCAGCCATCAAACCTGTACAGTACATAAAAGTTAACCTGAACTGTTTCTTAATCCATTGCACATCCAGCAATCTTACCTATTATCTCCTAGTCTTTATGACTAAGTTAAATATAAACCTAATACAGGAGTGTATTGGACAGTAAAAAGAGGGCAACAGTCGAAAATTTTCTACACAAAATTTAAGAACCAAAATTTAATGTTGGTTTCATAGCATTACACAAATTAGCAGCCGACACATCAAGAGTATTTTGTCAGTTAAAATTCTCTTATTCAAATAACAGTCTTAATGCTCCGTTACATTTTAAAAAAAATTCTTTTCCCACTTCAACATAGGGTGGCCAAAGTCTAGATAAAACAGACCATTTCATTCACTTTACATTAGTTGTTTTCTACTGGTGCTTACCTTCCATAAGACCTCAAACTTTATACCTGGTTTATCCATCATTGTACATCAAAACAATACCTGTACTGTACATCTTTTCCCAGAAGCCACACAACACCATTCTCTCTGATCATGTAGTCTTACCATTTGCTTCCTAGATGTTCATCACCTTCTCATCCAGTACAAAACTTGCTTTTCCCCTTTCTTCCATATCCAGGTCCTCCAAAGGTTACCCCCCCCCCCACTTACTTTCTCTTTCATGTCATTCATCTTTGAATTTAAACACTATTTACCAGTCTTTGACTTTCAATTATTTCAGTATGTCTACACCACCTTAGCAATCCCTGGGCATCTCTATGTACAACACTTCTTCCACCTTAACATCATTATTTTTATTTCTACACTTCATATGCTCTGCATCATAATCACCCCACACACAATGATCACAATACACATTTACCAACCAGGTTCTCATGCCCAAGGTGAAACAACCTTTTGATGGACAAGCCTCTTGCTAAGGGGTAAGATAATTCACTAGCTGCAAAGTACTAATAGTACTGTACTGTAATATGGAAATCAGTAACTATCCACCCACCCTGCATCAAAGCAAGAAAAGGATATTTTTCGAATTTATAAAAAAAAGTCTTTACAATTTTTCTTTTTATCTTATCACCCTTTCCTGTGCATAGAAGACCATACAAAATGGCATGCTTTTATACATGTTCATCTGCCATGTATAACTTATAATACTCTCTTCTCATCCATCTACTCATATTTTTTAAAGTATATCCAATCTTCAATATTTATACAGTTATTTCTTCGTTATTGCCTTAACATTCTTAAGAATAGCTTACAGACTGTCACCCCTCTTCCTCATTTAGCATTTTTCCACTTACATTTGGTAACTTTTAATTCTTTGACACTCAAGCAACTGAACTCTGCTTTCCTTTCACAAGGTAATTAAAAAAATTCTCCCAAGGTCGCTCTCCCTCGTTTTTCCTCGAAAAAAATCTTCATAATTTATGTAAGCTATTTCCATGTTCACTAAACTTTCCTGTTCTCTTAAAGTACTTCCAATACAGCAACTTGTTCCCTTTAAAACCTTATTTTTTTTTTCATATAACACCTCAACCAAAATAACCATGCACATTTCTATGAGGTTTGGTATGCATTCATGGAAAAAATAACTAACTGTACTGTATATGGGAAAAGTAAGTCAATGATATATTACTTTGACATTTTAGGATTAGGAAAAAAAAATCACACAAAAAGGTCTTGAAAAGTGTGGATAATCATCTTAAAAAAGAGAAGAAATTGTATATAAAAGGAAACAATTAACTTTCCCAGATTATGCAATTCAATAATATCCCCCATACTTACATGATCTCAGGACAAAAGCTTTTCCACTGTACATGAAATACATAATCTTAGACGGCACTACTTATCAGTACAGAAGAGTGGATGATAAACAAGCATACTGGATACTGGATGCAGCCAAGATATAATTCCACTAATTCTACGTGCAGGTGACTTACACTTTCCAATGGTCTTACTCGTAGATGACCTCTTGCCGTAGATATCTTAAGAGACAGAATTTTTCCCGAGTTCCTCTGTTATGCCAATTAGATGGTGTTATTTCTTTCAGCACTCAGTAACCATATTAGTAATATTCAGATTAATTTACAATAAATTAGAGTCATAACCGAGTTCTGTCAAACATGATGTGCTAAAGGAAATATGAAAACCTGAAATATAAATAAACGTGTCAAAACAAAAAGATACTGCAAAGCTGATCTTTAGTTTGGTTGGTCTCTCACTACCTTTGTTTATCATAAACCACAAATTGAACAAAATATAGAAAAATAAAGAGCCATGTCACTTTCACTGCAAAGCTCTGAATGCAGATTTTTGTGCATCAAAAAGAAACTGGGTCCCACTAGCTTGATAGCCCATAAGGGGCAGTGTGGATAGAGCACACCCAAGATTAAGTCTTCTGTACAAAAGGAGACAGAGTGACTGCTTCTGCTCTACATCTTTCACATTAACAAAAGGAACACCCAACTTAATGGCTGGCTGTGGGGCTCAAATCAGTGACCAGTGGGTCAGAAGGTAAATGCTAAATCCACTAAGCAATATATTAGCAAGCAAAAAATTGGTCTCTCTTGAAGTTGGTAAAAGAACATTTTTAGCATTTGTATACTGTATATACCTACAAACCTCTTCCAGTTAAAATCAATTGTTTCACACACACACACACACACACACCTGCCATCTCTACATCTCCCTACATGTGAGCAGCAAGAGATAAGAAAAAACAATATGAAGATGATATTGCAAGTGTTGTAGTCTAGCTATTCAATCTAAATCGTACTTGTAAATTCTACAGACAATCTATCTAAGCTAAAACTTGATGGTTAACTGTATCATCCACTTAAAAAACACAATGCTTGCCAGGAGAAGGAGAAAATGTTGAACATCCTCACAAAAACATGAAAGTATCTGGGGTTGATCCTGCTTCTAGGTACATGAATGATTGAACAACCAAAAAGAATATGGCAACAACTCGTAGTTCTAATTGGGAACAACTCACAGTTCTAATTAGAAATGTGCTTACAAATACTGTAGTTTCATTGGGAGCAGCCCTTCAAAACACAAACTCTTAGTAGACAAGGTATGAGTCGTACTATCTACAATATTAAATGTACAACAAAAGAAACCTATATACTACAGAAAATATATACTCTTGTTCAATGAATTCGTTTTTAGTAATTAGCCGTATTCTCCTCACAAAACATAAGAACTGAATCTGTTAATTAACAGTAAAATTTGGTACCAGAAGAATGAACATACAGGTGTACGAAGTTGATCCTTCAGCCAGGTCAGGTAGAATGTGAGGTCTGAACCGTCCATTGGCTCGCGGGACCAACAAGCTAACTTAGCGATGATGCGAGCAGTCATGTTGATGATGAATGTGTCAGGTCGAGTAAGTAGGTTGAGGAAAGGGCTCCACATGCTTTCACGGTGCTTACGTGCATACTCTTTAAAAATTTCTACCCGTGATTTGTCTTCCTGAAAATTAAAAAATAATATTTATTTTGAGGTTAATAATGTTATGGTAGCAAGTAGAACATATACAAAAACTTTAAATTTATTATGTACTTTAACAATGATTTTGTTCCTTCTTTGATAATGCTTAATGAAGTAAAGAGAAATACCCAGCATATCCATGTCAATATGCCAGACTTACGGACGACCATAGTTCACCATTAAAGTAATGAGCCTCCAATTAACATGATCACCTAATATTTTTGAAGAATTGGCTTCAGTATTAGCTTATTCTGACATGACTAAGGAGAGACAAAATGTATAAATAAGGTTTCAAAACAGGTGCTTATTGTTTAAAAAAAATTAGTATTCTGTATACTCTTGGCAACTTTATAAATCTTCTTGGAGCTAAAAAAAGTCCCAAAAGACTAAAAATTAGGTGACATCAATCTGAGATTCAAGACTGGTAGATAATGCTGCATAAAATTATAAGCTAATCAGCTTAACACCATATATGTCTGCAAACTATGAGAAAACTTTGAGGGGTGCCATTCATTCCAAACCTTAAAGATCACAATCAACACATCACAACATGGTTTCATATAGAGAAAATCTTGTTTGACAAATTTGCTTCCATTCTTAGACACAGTTATAGATCACATGGCTCAATATCTATTAATGGTTGTGTTGTACAGGTACTGCACACGGATTTTTCTAAAGCTTTCAACAAAGTTCACGTGCATGGCTAGCTCAGAGATAAGTGTTCAAAAGTAGTTACGGTATAAATAGAATACAATCAGAGGGAAAAGAGGTTTTAGTGGAATACCACAAAGATCAAACCTGGGAACTATCCTAATTGTGATCGATGTAAGATTCTTCATGTGTAGCACAGTAACCCAAATCATAACTACTCTGTGAAAAATACTTTCCAGGAATCTATAAATAAGGAAAAACTTCGATTATAATAGACTATTCACTGAAATCAGCACAGCAAGTGGACAAAGCCAACCAAAATCTGGGAATCATAAAACATGCTCAATGAGCTTCAAAATCACTTGTAAATTCCCACCTAGATTATTGTGGAGGTTACACCTTTAAAAAGACATTTGCACTAGAAATGGGTTAACACAGGTGACCAGAATTATTCTTTAAATAATTCACCTCTGTTATCTATGTAAGCTGAGGGTTTGAACTAACTCTTCAAACCAGACATGATATGGCAGACCTCATACAGGCATTCAAAATCCTGAGAGGGATGGATAAATGTTAACCCAAATCATTTCTTCATGACATTAAGAGCTATAAACACAGGAACAATGGGGACTGTACACTGGCAACAAGCCTCTTTCCTCCATCATAGCGACCATTAGCTGTGATAGCTATTAGGTAAATTAGTAAACTGTTCTAAAATCTACTCTTCTAATTTCCTAAAATTTTCCCATAGTTTATATTTATGTAACTACTCGGCTTTCTTTCACCGGTATACTACAAAAACTAGAGATGAAACTACTACTTACAGACAGAATGTCATCAACAAGAATGAGAATGTACTGGATGGTCTGGTCCTTGCTGATGTGGCCCAAGAGGTTCATAAAGGTACGAGCCACCTGATAACGGTGGGAATGGAGCAGTGCATCTCTTCCTGGACCTGGTACCTCTACCCCCATGATCACCTCATAATCCTCCTGACTGATCATTTGGGACCTAAAAGTAACATATCATACATTATAACATTATACTCTCATACTCATGATACTATACACACATAGATGCCATATTGAGAACAGCCAAGACCCTTGACAATTCTGTGTAAAGTTCTATATGTATATATTACAGTACTTATATTGCACACACAATTATGTATAGAGTTTACAACACACAATGTTTGGTACAGTAGAACGTCGATATAACACGAGATACGTTCCAAGAGAGGTCGCTTTAAACTGAATTTGCACTAAATCGAAGTGTTGTTTCAAAGGAATAATGTAGTTTGGTACTTGAGAGAAACACAAAATATTACAACCCCATCTCCTAGAATAAACAAAACATTGTTTTTTGTAGTATTATGTTAAAACAAACACTCATAAATCAACACAGCTAAAATTATGGGACACGAAATGGTCTGTTTACTAGCGATCAGCTGATGGGAAGATGGGGGGGGGGAGGTGATATGTTAGACAGTTGATGCCAAGGTCTAGTGATTATTTATTTATCTGTCCTTAAGAGGGACTAAGTTTTTCTCTTATAAAATGTCACTGAACTGACATGTTCTAATTAATTTTATTAAAGGGCTAAAATTTGTATCTCCTGTGCAAAATATATGACGTTTTATTCAAATTATTCGCTGTCTTGCAAGGATTCTAGCAATGCAAATTCTATTCTTCTAACTTTAGTCTGTGATATTATATAAGATAAAAACTGTAAGCCTAAAACCACCCACCCTGGTTGGGAAGATGGGGGGAGGGACAGTGACATGTTTAACAGTTGGCGCCGAAGGTCTAGTGAAGTATTTATTTGTTTATTTATGTCCTTTATATTGAGTTTTTGCTTTTTGTTTATAAAATGTCACAGAGAATATAATTTACATTGCTGGAATTCTTATAAGATAGTGATTAATTTGAATATAATCATGCTATAGTTTGCACTAGACAAAAATTTTAGTAATCATTGAGTACATTATTTTGAGTACATGTACAGTACAGCTTTGCCCTTAAGACAGTGTAGCGTGCCCAGAGAAACATTAGAAACGAATTTTAAAATATGATGTAGGTAGCAGGCAGCTATCAAAGAGGGAGGTACTACCGCCTGGGAAGATATTGGAAGCATAATGTGTTGTCTAATGGTAGACCTTGCTGCCATATGGCATCACAAAAATTGTGACCACACAGTATGTGTGGTCACATTGACAGATAGTGTCGTGAAGAATATTTTTTTTTATTAACTGAAGATATTTGTTTTAGCTCATAAAATTCATACAAATTACTGGACCAGCATATAATTTACATTGCTGGAATTCTTACAATATGATGATCATTTTGAATATAAACATCATGGATTTTGCATTAGACATACAAATTTTAGATCTAATGTAATAATTTGGTTTACACAAAGCAAATATTTTATCTTTTGTGCAAAATTTATGAAGTTTACATTCAAAATATTCCCTGACCTGCAAGGAATCCAGAAATGTCAATTATATTATCCTAACTTTAGTCTGAGGTATTATTTATTACTAAACGTTAAAATCGAGAGTTTTCACCCAAACATTAATCAGAGAGGTAGGAGCTAGTGAGCTGGGAAGAGAGAGGGGGGGGAGGGGATTTGAGTCCATTATTTGAATGGACATAAACCTGGTAACTGTATTTCTCTTAAATATTAATTGTGTGAGCATACCATCATAAAATTTAGATGTTATTTTTACTACAACATAGGTATTGTGTCGGAAAAAGTGGAGTTTGGGGGTCGGGCCAGTCTCTATTGGAATTAATCCCATATGTTCTGTTGTTCACTTTACGCGGTACCCTGTGGGTTCAATTGACCGCGTAAATCGGGTACTACTGTATATATATATTTTTTTTATATTGACCCACGAAGGGGCTAGTTTATTGGGCACCCCCTTACATCCTGTGCAAGGTGAACCGCAGAAGCGTTTACAGCGTCCAACAGGGAAGCATGCTAAGTTCATGCTTGCCTTTAAGTCTCATGAGTTAAGGGCGTAGAAGCCTGAAGAGTCAAGGGCGTGAAGAGTCAATGGTGTATGTCATCAAGTTATTGGAAGCTCCAACAACTCCCTGAATACGAATTCACAACTTTCGACTTACAACAGGTACCTACTTTACTGCTAGGTGAACAGGGACTAATGGGGGCTAGGAAGAGTGTCCAAACATCTTCCATCGGCCCGGGAATCGAACCCGTGACATCTCGCTTGCGAGGCAAGAACAGTACCGCTTCTACCACCAGCGCCCCGATTTTCTATGTATTATTTTCATATTTTCGACTTACGACCTGGTCCCTAACCCCGTCGTAAGTCGAGGACTGACTGTAGTTTTATAATGAAGCTCATTCCGAGACTGTAAGACTGCTGTATGGGTGAAATATGATAAATTAAACACCTTTTGAAAGATCTAAGGACAATACAGGTTGTTGAGTATGCAGCCTTCATAAAAACCAGGTTCACTAAAGGTGAATTTTTTTGGTAAAATTATCATTTATACTTACCTAACATTCACTCATATGTGTATGCACATTGTGCTTTCCATCTTTCCCACATGCAATACACCATGGAAAAACATCTTGCTTGCCAGAATGGACCTGAAGCATTACTAAGACCTCATTCTTGTACTGTGCTGTTTATGTGGCATTTCCATAATTTCTAGTCTTATAATTAATAAATAACATTCAGTACTTTGAAATACCACCATACAGTACTTATATTATATCATAAAATATAAATTAATTTAGATTAAAGAGTAAGAGCTAAAAAAAGTGAAATACGTACAGTAAAGGCAGTCCCGAGTTATGAAACACCCAACAAATGAACATCTGCACTTGAAAATGGGATCCCAATATGGTATACCGTATTCATCACAATACATCTGTAACTAAAATTCCATTTATTTTAATAGTTTATATTGTTTAACATCACTTTATTTACTGTACTGTAAAGTAATCTCCCTGTTAGCTGGAACAAATGGTGCAGCATGCTTCTGGTTTTGAGAAATTTCCAGGTATAGAGATGAATTTTCATATCCCCGTACAAATCGCACTTCTATGAAATTTTTCCGAGCACTGGTGGAGGTTTCCACATCTAAACTATGCATATGGCATAGAGGTATAACTGCAGTTGGGCAGACACAGAGCAGTATTTATGCAAACACTACTGTACAAGTACAGTATATTGTAAATAAACAAAATATACTAACTACAGTAAGTCCTCGCTTAACATTGTGGTTCCGTTCCTGAAAACCATGACGTTAACGGAAACAACGTTAACGGAATAAATTTTCCCCATAAGAAATAGATAAAATACGGGAGTTATGTTCCCAGCCTCCCTTTTCCCCATAAAATACATTACATATACAGATATTCAATGAAATTTTTTTTAGAAAATAGTATCGTGTATATTATGCATCCCAAAAGTTTAATAAACTAAATCATTTTGTATTGTACTCACTGATGGGCGGAGGTGGAGCGAGTGTGAGGTGAGTAGTGGAGAGGAGGTGGGTAGTAGAGAGGAGGTGGGTAGTAGAGAGGAGGTGGGTAGTAGAGAGGAGGTGGGTAGTAGAGAGGAGGTGGGTAGTAGAGAGGAGGTGGGTAGTAGAGAGGAGGTGGGTAGTGGAGAGGAGGTGGGTAGTGGAGAGGAGGTGGGTAGTGGAGAGGAGGTGGGTAGTAGAGAGGAGGTGGGTGGGAGAGAGGAGGGTAATGAGTCACTGAGACCCGGAGGGTGGCTCCTCCTCCCGCTCTGACTGGGTCAGAGGGTGATGTGCCGTACAAAGTAGTCCGTGACGACGTTATACCGAATCGGCAGAACGTTGTCCGAATCATGGGTATCTAAAGAGTAGCGATGTTATAACGAAACAACGTTGTAGGGGCAACGTTAAACGAGGACTTACTGTACAAGTATCCTTCACTTAATGATGGGAGGTGTTCCTGAAAACCTCAACACTCAGCAATATGATTGCTAAACAAGGGATACTGAGGAATAATATCCATGGAGATAGCATGTAATAGTGAAGCTGAGTCACCTACTTGCCACCCAGTAGCACTTACAGTAGAGTGGGTGAGGCTGAGCTGCGAGTTATGTTATTGTTTAACTTGTAATTTCTAGTACAGTAATCCCGTGTTTTTCACATAAATTATATATATATACTGTATATAAAATATCATTTAAAAACAAAATTTAATTTCAAGCCATTTTCGATATTCCCGCCACCCTTTCCCGCCTCAGACACCTGCTGCTCCGAGAAGCCTCAGTCCACACATGCCTACCGTACTGTGAACGCTACTGTGATTACCTCTTTTGTTTGTCCTCCCACGTGCATTCCACATAGCTCCGGGACGTAAGCCAGCCTCATCAAAGGCAAATATTACGAGCAAAGACTTTAAAATGACCAAGAGATCAAGGATAGTGATGACCTTAACAGAAAAAAATAGTTTTATTGGACAAGCTGAGGTGGTATGAGCTATGGCTTGAGATGTGGTGAAGACTGACAATTCATTTGTGCCTTTTGTCAGAAAACAAGTCTTCAAGTGGAGGCATGTGGGTGGAAGAGGACTGGCTGGCTGGCGTGACTGCGTGAGGGTGGGCAGACGCCGGGACAGCAGGGAGAGGCTGGCAATGCAGGTGTTGCCGACCTCAGCGAAATATAAAAACTTTTATTTACTTGTAAATAATTTTTTTTGTATATAACTGTTTATGTTTTCCATTATTATACTACTGTACAATATGATTAGTTTCAAATAATGATGTTAGTAAATGCCGGTACAGTGCATCAGTGACCAATGTGACCACTGGGCCGTGAGTGGAGAGCATGGCGTGGTTAAGTGCCTGACCTACCTGAGCTGTTTGGTGGCCACAGGTACAGTGATTCCTAAAACAGTATTTGTGGTTTTGGCTTTTCGCGGGGAACGTTTCAGGAACGTAATTCCCGCGAAAAACACGGGAAAACATCTGTATCTTGCCAAAATTACATTCCAAAACCTGTCCCATTTATTAAAGTTGTAAACACAAAATCCGATGATCTCTCAAAGCTGGAAAACTCTTCCATCCCTGGAATTTTCCAGGTACCGAAATTTTTTTCAGAATTTCTGGAAAATACGCCTGATTTTCCAGGTACCGGGACTAATTTCTCAGATTTTTCAGGAAAATATGCCCCTCAGAAAGTTGTTCCCAAAGCCAGAATTTCCTGTAAAATTCCAGCTTTGGGAACAATTTTCTACGAAAATTTAAATTCTGTCTATCGGAGAGTTCCGGTTAAGAGGGATTCCAAATAACGAAGATAATACTTGCATATCATGCTCACCTGATATTTTGGGTTCACATTTATCAAAGGATCACTTTGAAAGTTTTGATTCACCTTTGTTTAATTTATCAAGAACTAAAGATAAAAAAAAATATATACTTATCACCTAAGCATCTTGGTGCTAAGATTTGCTCCCCCAAAATTAGGATGTAATTAAGTGATATAGTAAATGGAGGAAAAAATCATGGAGATGGAAATATAATAATAATTTCTTAATGATATAATAAAAGCCACGACTAGACTTACTGGAGGTATGAAGGCCAGTTGACCTTCTGCTGGCGGATTTCATTTGCTCGTTGCACCAGAACACTGGTTGCCCCAGCAACACCTGTGAGTAATCAGGTCATATTTTAGATGGATAATAAATATAATCACATGATAACTTTCATGTTCTAGCACGTAAAAAAAGGGGGGAACCTCGGTTACATTAAAGAGGATACCTGGTATGATAACAAAGAAATGCATGTGAAATGCACTCAGTAAAAACTTGCATGGATAATGGTAGTCTTTGTGAAATAAGAGAGGGGAATAGCAGGCAGTAGGTAAGTTTTATACCTGTGGCTCTAGATTTGGTAAATTATATGTTTTCAAGGGAAAAATTCCATCTACAGTAAACAATTTATTTAAAAATAATTTTTTTTTGGTAGGAGTTGACGAGTAACAAGACACAATAGTTCACTGAAGGATTATAATCCTTCAGTAAACTCCAGTGAACATGTCTGTGCCATGCTCTGTACGGACCAACTGGTAAGACTGCTCGGTGAGCTACCATGCCTGCCATGCTGATATAGTTTACTACCTCGCCAGTAGCTTGCCAGGTGATGGACAATATGAACAGCACATACTGTATATAGAATAGAAAACAGTATACAGTGGACCCTCGGTTAACGAACGCCTCGGTTAACGAACTGCCTCCCATAAGATTCTTAAATTCGGTTAACGAACAAAAATTCAGTTAACAAATTTCTTACGAACCGACCTCAACATGTTTTCGCTTGCACTGGCCGGTCAACCAGCTTTAGTATTAGTCCGCCAATACATTAATCGGTTCTAGGGCTTAAATTCCTTACTATTTTAGTAAATATCAAGAAGTTTATACTATTCAATAATTTTAAAAGTTTAATATTCAATTTTTAGTTATTTTAACAATTATTGAACATAATTGAAGGTAAAGTGACTAGTTTAATGCGCGGCATCCAGCCTCTTAACACAGCAAACAGGCGTTAGTCTCTCTCTGTTTTCACTGGAGGTAACATCTTGCTTGAGACTCTCTTCAACTAAATGCTTTTTTTCTGTGTTTCCAAGCAAATTATTGGTCATTTTGAAATATATTTTACATATTGACAATATATAATGCAGTGCAGTGTTGATTTAAAGAAAATAATCTTGAAATACACCAAGAGAACTAAAATTTTATGGGTGAAATGGTGCCATGGGGTGACTTCTCTTCCACCCCAATGCCTTCTCTTCTTCCTTCTCCCCCACCCTCATTCTAATTCCCATCATCATCATCATCCAGGAGCCTTCTACATACACAACCTCAAAGTAAGTGAACTTTTCTACCATTTTTTTTGAATTTAGGCAATTTTCGGTGAGCGGGAACCAATTACCCAAAAACCCATTGAAACAATGGTTTCGGTTAACGAATTTTTCGGTTAATGAACAACCTGCTGGAACGGATTGTGTTCGTTAACCGAGGGACCACTGTACATATATGCATACATAATCATAAACACCAATCTGATACAATATACCTAGCATATACCTAGCATACTGAACTCTCCACTTTTAACTGAAATAACATCTAGATATGACAACCTTTGTACCATATTCAGTAGCAATTAGAAGCAAATGTTTCCATAATTTATTTCCAATTCACCCAATAATTGCAACATACTTTCTCGAATGATAAGCGGAGGGAGACATACATTCGGAAATTCAGACCGTTTTGAATGCAGTTCACGACAAATTTCAAATTTCACAGGGTCAAGCATGGGATGATTACACTTGCCAGTTGACCCAAAGGGTAATCCTCCCACCCACACCGCTAATGACGCAGTCATATCTTGGTCACGATGGAGCCAAGACCTGCATCCTCGCCATGCCAGCCCCAAACCCACTGACTTCAGAAATTCACCATGGCCAAACTAAGGTAAGGAATGGACTCATATTTGGTTTCCACATTCTTCTACATTCTATCCTTTAATCCACAAGAGTTAAAATGATGTTCAGGGAAAATCAATATACAGTATGTGTTTTTTGTTTTTGGCGCACTGGGGGGTTGATCGGCTAATCACTCTACCGCAGTTATCGGCTTAATGGCTATAAATTATAGTCTATCTTTCCAGGCTACACATAATCTATATGTATGTCTTGGGTGATACAATTGTGAATTTTGCATTGTGGTTTTGACAATGAACACAGCACATATCTCATGCAGACAAACTTCCTCTCAATTACCCAAGGAATGTCATACCAAGGGTGCCAACTTCCTGCATGGAAAAACCTGATGGACTAGTGTGTACAGTACTTTTTTATAGTAGAAAGTTAAGCTATATCTCAAGTAAGAAATATGGTATAAATGTTCCATTTCTTTTATTTTTGTACTTATTGTTGGCAACAGCCACTAGTTATGGATGACCTAAAATAAAGAGGTATGCATGGAAAGTTTGTACACACAGTAAAAAAAAGTACCGCATGGATTATGGGAGAAAATATGACACCACAGATGAGGGATAGTGGAATGTGCGTGTTGGTCCTGTATTATGGTGGTAGCCCTGCTTTCCTTGCCTAAGGGTGTGGGACGTAACTAATATGGCCCTACTATAGGTAGGTGGAAACCTTTGCCATACAGACAAGCATACCAACCCTCCCGGCACATCAGGTGATGTATGAAACATTACGGAAGTCAGCAGACCTTCCCTGCGCGATACTTTTTTTTGCTGTGTGTACGGTATGCATTGTACGGTATTTATTACAACACAGTACAGTATAAGCTTATTGGCATTGTTGTTTTCTCTTGGAGTTCTTAAATTGCAGTACATTTTGTCATTCAAGGCATTTTGGCATTCCTTAAGCATCAAATCTTGCATGAGGAAACTTTATATTATGTGGAGATTTTAATTTACCCCAAAATAACCCACTCCAGGCTTTATTATTAATAAAGCACGGAGTTGACTTGAGGGTGGGATGATGAGAATAAAAATTTTTATGTAGTCTTTTTGGATTTTCAGAAAGCTTTTGACTCTGTTCCACATAAGAGACTTACCGGTATATACTGTATAAGTTAAATAAGTTGGGAATTAGAGGCAAATTCCTAAACTGCATTCATGATTTTCTATGTGGTAGAAAGCAGGTGGTGGTGATAAATGGAGTGGAATCCAGCTGGAAAGCCGGTACCAGTGGTATTCCACAGGGAAGTGTTATTGACCCTTTATTATTTATAAGCTATAAAATGACCTGACATCTGAAAATTATACATCAACATGTGAAATATTCGTCAATGATATCAAGATCTATGAAGAGGTGAAGATGGATTCAGAGGAGACTTCAGGATTCTAGAGAAATTTACTTCTGATGAACAATTGGTCAGAGGAGTACATGTTAAACTTTAACCCGAGTAAATGCTTATTATATGAATAACCCAAAGGGTGAATGTGGTAAAGGCAGAAAAGGATCTTGGAGTTGTGATAAGTAACAAATTAATGTTTAAGAGTCATGTAGCAAAATCAATTGCAAAGGCAAACCAGTCACTCAGAATTGTTGAGAGAACGTTTACCTGCATCAATGAAGAACTCTTTAAGACTTTATATTTAACCTATATTCGACCTCACTTGGAATATTGTGTACAGGTGTGGAGGCCATATCACAAAGGTGAGATTTATAGTATTGAGCAAGTGCTGAGAAAAGCAACAAAAATCGTGCCATCATTGACTGACCTATCAGATGAGGAAAGACTGGCAAAATTGGGATTAACCACTTTGTTAGAGAGGAGTAGAGGAGATTTAATTGGGATGTACAAGATAACCATTGTAGACCGATATAATTTTTCCAAAACCAAATATATCAAGGAAACCTGAGAAGACATAACCACATATTACAGAAGCAAATAGAAAATAAATAAGAAAGAAAACACACTTTCAGTCAATGAACAGTGGACAAACAGAACAATCTGGATCAGTAAGTTGTTCAAGCAACATCCGTAAACCAGTTCAAGAACCGCCTTGATACAGTCAACGTGTAGATGTGGGTCGAGCCTGGCAATATATCCCGACAGGGATAATCTTCACCAGAATACTACTACTAATAAATAAAAAAACAAGAAAAAACACTGATTGTGCAACAGAAATAGGGAACACAAAACTTATCATTTTATGCAATAGGAAATGTTTAACAATACTGTAAGGATTTTCAAAAATTATTTAGTTAATTAAATCAAAGTAAACTTATGCCAACTTCATTATATAATACAAAACAAGCACACTGGCTTCTGTGATGCTGGTCCCTTGTACCAAGAAGGGAAGAAATTTATTTAATCAGAAAGGTGGGACCACATACTGTACGTGGAAACAGGTATATACAGTAATTAACTTTCACCTGAATACATATGGTTTAATTAGTTAAAAATGATAGCTTTGTTAACTACTATGCACTAGAAGATGCTCTTCGGAGCTGTTCAATACTTAAATACGTACAGACATGGTCCCATTAATATGCAAACCATCAATGATAGACATTTGATTATGCCTTGCCAAAATTCAAGCTGAGGCTCGCTAATAAACAATAAATGACCTGTGATGTTTGGCACTTTAACCTAAGTTAAGTCAATATATCTTACCCCTGTCTATGTCTTCTGGAAGGGTGGCCATCGCGAGTGTGCTCTGGGTCATAGTTCTCCTCAAGAGATGATCACCAGCACCTGTCGCCCGGGACAAGACTCGAGTGGTCACGAGATGCAGCTGACCCGAGATACCAACTGTTTTGGTTCACTCACAAAATATAATAGCGTTTTCTGTATATTTTTCGCTAAACCAATTCGTCTAAACACTTTAAAAATATTTATAACTATATAAGTAAAATAAAATTTAAAAAAAAATGAGATAATAACTATCTTTTGGGAAAATATATATTTCCCTGTTATTGGCACTACTGTCTGTCAGATATAAGCTTGTGTCCGGAACTGTTGAAGTAATATTAGTGCGAATAACAAAAACGCAATAATTAAATAAATAAACCATTCATATAAATATTTTCTACTTTAAATATATATTTTTTATAATTTAATTTATAGAGATAATTTATAAAGCAGTTAAATTCTAGTATAAATCTGCAACTCCAATTTATTATAAGCCATCGAACGCATTGTTGTGGTGCAGACGACTGGTCTGCTGATCTCCCACAACCCAATAAACTCAAAAGAGAGAAGAAAAGCGTATGAATCCTCAACCACCTATATCATATTATATGTATAATCTATGTATAATTTTAACAATATATTTATTTATAGGTTTGGCTTAGATAAATATTATTAATATCTAATAACATACACACAATGAAATAGAACCATCACAGGGCCTCACACCTTCCACCGCTGTAAACAAACGTCGCCAGCTTACTGCGTCGCGTGCCAGTAAAGCTTAATAAGATGGTGAAACTCACACCTGAACTGATTTTGCAGTCGGCTCAACACATCAACCCTCTTCGGGATAGAGAACTAATTCTTAGAGGTAACATGGAGAATAATTGGTAATACTTATACCAGCATATTCCTGAGGCCAGGTGTACCTCCAACTGGGCCCAGGTGTACCTCCAACTGGGCCCACACATTAAGGCCCACCTGGCACACTTCAAACAAGTAGCTGACTAGTAGTTCAGAAATAAGTTTGAGATTTGTTTGGTCTCTTTTGGTTCACTGAAATATGAAGTGTGAATACCGAGGGTTCAATCGGTATGAAAGACGATTTTATGCGTTTATGTTAATGGAATTTGATCAATGAACCATGATTCACATACGTAACAAAGGAGTTTTCTGTCTGTTTATAAAGTGTAAAGGGAAAAGTCACTTAATGTTGGTGTTAGATTACAGGATCAGTCACATACCGAGTCCTGACCATGGCTTGGTATGCATGGCCCACCTTAGACAAGTAGCTGACTAGAGGTTCAGGAATGACATCTAGACCCCATCTGCTTGGAGTGTATTTAACAGGAGGGTAAATTTCTACTTTAGGACCCGAGTCCATAGGGTTTGACCAATATGCTTTTCCAGTGTATTTTGGTGTGTTTTAAACGAATTTGACCTTCATTTTTGGCGGAAGTGTCTCGTTTTTGCCCTCCCCCCACAATAACGGGGGGAGAGTCTGGGAAATCAGGGTTTTTGGGTGGGGGAGAAAACGAATCATCTAACCTAAACAAAACTTAACCTAAACCCTAACCGGGGTGGAGGCCTAGCTTAAACTAATCTAAATGTTTCAGTTGTTAAAAACTTAGGGGCGCGCTATGTCCGAAAGTACAATACCTCAGAAGTGGAAGGACCAGGGATACGTAAAAATTGGATAGAATGATCGTCTTTCTCATAAAACTCGACAATAAATTTAAAATAATCGTAGAAGCACAAATGACAACCAACCTCCACAACGGCCATTGGGAGACTGGTCAATAAAATTTCCCGGGCTGCTTCCTATGAAAAAAATCAAATGTGATTGGTCGAAAAAATTTCGCGTGATGCTATTGATACATCATTTGTCATGACTGGATTACGTCAGTCAATATTGCACATGCGTGATGCACCGATAACATCTCACAAAGACTGAAAACTACGTAAATTCAATTAAATTCAATTGTGTTGCTATTATCCATTTCTACCAGGTATATATGGGGTTCAAAATGCTCAGAAAAGGGAGATCTAAATGTTTCAGAAGTTTATAACTTTTGGGAACGCTATGTCCTAAAGTAAAATAATACCAAAAGGAGTGTCCGTACAAATAATGACTCTGAAGGGTGGCATAATTGCCTTAGCTTGAAAGCAAGAAAAGGACTACTTAACTTCTATCTGTTAATCAAGCTACTCTGTAATGTCCAACGGTTAAGTGCTACGGAAACAACGGGCCAAGTATGTACATCACCAAGGACAGCTCTTCAAACTGTTGGACAAATTCAACAATGGACGAAGATCTGCTAAAAATTTGCTACGAGCTGTTTCACACCACGTTACTGTTTATCAGTAATGTTTGTACTTTTATGTTGCTTTTTATCATTGTACTTTTATCATTCATGCAAAAATAAATGTGTAAAATGTGTTCGTTAACTGAAGTGGTCCGAGTTGGTTATCCGAGATGGTCCGAGTAGGATATGGGGCGAGTTGGACTGTATTAATGCGTAATGGGATCATGATTTTTTGTTTATTGAGTACAAATCCTTATTGTACATGCATATTAAAATTATCCTGAGGATAACACTTACAGCATAAGGGTAATATTTTATTTAGTCGGTTGACATTTAGTGAGACTGGGAACTTTCTGAAGTAGTGGTTACTTAGTATAATACATAATTTGTAATTATTCAAATGAACCAAGGTAAAATTATTGTTTCAGTCATCCACCCATTTGAAATTTGGGTAATTATTGACGACTGACCCGCGGCCAGTTTTCCTTAAAAAATGTTTATGAAGACGCCGCAGTTTCACTGTGTCTTATAGTGGACACTGTTGTAGTTTGCGCAAATATGTTAAAAAGTGGTTACTTCTAAATTAAACCAAACCTAACCTTAGTTGATACGAAAAACAAGCAGCAGAAATGTTGTTAGAAGACCTCAACAACCTAACCAAACAAACCTATCGAACCTTTCCTAACTTCTTCACCACCGGGGGTTCCGTCCCCTGGACCCCCGGGTATATTTAACAGAAAGAACTATGATATGGTGTAATTTAAATTTTTTTTGTGGAAGTGAGAGCTGCCACCCATATCGAATTATTCATAAGCATATACTGAGCATCAGCGTCAATCCAGCCCGCGGTAATGGAGTGTTTTGAAATACATCAATATGATTAGCTGTTTACATCCTGGGATGAGACATTCCTTCTGCATTACCACCAAGAAGACAAATTTTTGTACGCCTAAGCACCTAATTATCTTTCAAACGAAGCATTTGCACAATAAATGATTATCATATCAGAACTCACTGATGACAATATAGTAAGAAAATAAACATTAAAACAAATACGTGTTGGGGGTCTGTCGTCAATTTTAACCTAATAATGTTTAGATGAAGCTCAAGTTTAGGTTGATTCATTTAATGAACGACAAAATATGTGTAGTACTGTAGTATCTGCAGTTTATACTCCATAGTGACTATGCACGGAACTTTCTATTGATTCTAATATCGGGACATAGTGCAAAAAATAATAAGTTAATGTTGGAGGAGACAGTTAACACCAGGAGTTTATAGAATTTGCATGGTACTAAATAAGAAAACAGATACGACAATGCACAGAACCTATTCAAGCCAAATTTAACTTTCAAACCCAAGGGCTCTGGACCTTCCTGCCATACAAAGTTGGGTAACAGTGGAGCAGGCAGTTAGCACCAAATGGAGTTTTCTTTTATTTTATTTTTTCAGCATCAAAATTTTTACCCCCTTTACTGGATTAACTCTTATGACCTGAATTTCAGGTTATAAAATTCCTGTTATTGAGAACCTTGGAGCAACTCTCGATCAGTTCGATACTGTTGACTTCAGTGATAATGACATCCGTAAACTTGATGGTTTCCCTCTTCTGAAGAGGCTCAAAACTTTGCTCTTGAATAACAACAGAATTGTGTGAGTACAGTACTTTGGTTCACAGTCTGCCATACACACTTTTTATAATCCAACATGAACGTAATTATGCAATAAATATTTCTCTTGTTCCTATACTGTATATACATGAGAACCTCCTTAAATCTTAGATATTCTTTGTAGAGACAAGGTTAACACTTTTATTATTATAATGTTCTCCATTTCAGTCGCATTTCAGATTCGTTAGCTGAGACAGTGCCAAACCTTCAGTGTTTGTACCTGACCAATAATCTAGTGCAGGAGCTGGCAGACCTGGACAACCTGGCTGGACTAAAGAGGCTTGAATATGTATCACTCCTGGGCAACCCTGTCACAACCCGTGACCACTACCGTCTTTATGTCATCAACAAGCTTCCTCAGGTTGCCCATTTATTGTTTGATTTGTAGTGAAAGTTATGAGGACGTGTATTATACAGTTACTGTATTATATACAGTAGTTCAGGTGTCCATTATATATATATATATATATTGTATTTAGGAAAGCAGTGACACAATTAACATTTTTTCCTGGCAATACCCCTGAAAGAATGGCCACATAAAATGTCTCAAAACATTTAAGCTAATGACTTTCCACCATTGTTTGTAAATTTAATACAGTGAATCAGCACATCTACCATTTCCTTAAGAGTCTTTGCATGAAGATTTGGAAATCATGTATTCAAACCTTATGTCACTTCTTTTCTCTAAGAGGAAAGAATTTGTATAAAATCAAAGTTCTCATTAGCACACACATGTAGGAAAGCAAATGACAGAAAAACCCTTGGAGGGGAATTGCTAAAATGTAGAGTATGAAAAATGGTATTCATGCAAAGGACAGTTTGAAGTTTAAGAAAGTTAAACACAACTAAGTGATGTGGATTAAATGCTGGTACAAGAAAACCAGTCATTATTAGATGTGGAACTCCACTAGTACTTCTCTAGGAGACTGAGGCCACCTAGCTTATTAATGAGTAAGCTTCTGTCCTCTTGTTTCTTCTTAATACTACCCATGTTGTATTTCTTCCCATCTTTATCATATTAATGTGTATCAACTCCAGTGTAAAATATGTACTACTGTATATACTTATAAGTGTAAAAAATAAATGTTAAATCAATAAAATAAGTACGGTAAATAACGAATTGATACCCGTGGTAACATTCTGATATGTTCTTACTACCACCATGTTACGTAATAATAATAATAATAATAATTAGCGGTTTATTGAAAAAGTCGGCAGCCCGAAAGCTGAAAATATACATTTGACAAAAATTACTTATTACATACAAAGACATGGGGTGGGTGGGTTGTTTAACAAAAGCTTTCATTACTAAAAGAAGGTGACTGAACATACAAATTATTATAGTTTACAGTTGATGGCCCGGGCGTGGGCTGGTCATGGGGACACCAGGTGGTGAGATTTTCACGCAGTGTAGTAACTCGTCCTCGGATGTTGATATGAGGGACCTCACGTGGTCATGGATACATCGGGTGGTGTGGTGTTCTTGTGGTGTGGTAACTCGTCCTCGGATGTTGATATGAGGGACCTCACGTGGTCATGGAGACATCGGGTTGTGTGGTGTTCTTGTGGTGTGGTAACTCGTCCTCGGGTGTTGATATGAAGGACCTCATGTAGTCATGGGGACACCGTGTGGTGTGGTGTTCACGTGGTACAGTGACTCATCCTCGGGTGCTGATATGAAGGACCTCATGTAGTCATGGGGACACCGTGTGGTGTGGGTTGGTGTCACAGTACCTCACTCTGCGCAGTGATGTTTTGTTATCCCGTAGTCAGGTGCATAGCCGGCCAGCTCTGTTGTTCCCAGGGTGGACGGATTAGCACCTCCTTGTCAGAAGATGGTGGTTAGTTCCCAGGGGTGCTTATCTCACTGGTGGGTTGCGGCTTTCACTGGTACTATCTAGTGCTGAGTTCACTGGCTTAAACACTGTTCATCACTGTACAACACTGGTCCCACTTCTTTCCGAAACAAAATTGTCACTTTTGATTATGTAGATATCCCGGTGGTGAGGATGGGTCAGGGAGAGGGACTTGGGGAATGGGCCGACATTGGCCAAAGGGGGACAGCTGCGTAGCGGGAGCAGCGCCCGAATAGGTCTTGACCCTACGGTGGTCAAGGATGTAGTGTGCTATTTCAGATGATACTAAATGTTACATAATACTTCCTTGAGGTAAATGTAAATAGTATATATCAGGTGCCTTCAAGAGAGCTCAAGCTCTCAACTGGCTCAGCCTTGTCAATACAGTGGTCCCTCGGTTAACGAACACAATTTGTTCCACAGAGTCGTTTGTTAACCAAAAATTTTGTTAGCCGAATCCATTGTTTCAATGGGATATTGGGTAATTGGTTCCAGCTCACAGAAAAGTACATACAAAGTAAAAAAACAAAAAAAACAATGCAGTAAAGTATACTTACTTTGAGGTGTGTATGTAGAAGGTTCCTGGTTGATGATGATGATGGGAATTAGAAGTAGGGGTGGAGGAGAAGAGAAGGAAGTGGGGATGGAGAAGAAATCACCTTTCAGGGGACCCATGCTTGCTGTAGTAATTTCACCAATAAAATTTTAAGTTCACTAGGTGTAATTCAAGATTATTTTATTTAAATCAACACTGCACTGCGCTATATGTTATCAATTGTTAACTAAATTTCAGAATGACCAATAATTTCAATGTAAAAATGCAAAAATATTCAAGACGCCAACAAAATCGATGTTCACTCCACTGTCAACAAAGCCAGTGGGTGAGTCAAGCGGTTGATGGGCGCACAAAAACTAGTTCCCTGTACTGCATATATTATCAATATGTTAACTTAATTTTAATATAAAAAATGCAAAAATATTAAAGGGCACAATTTTCTTTATATTTACTCCACTGGTAACGAATGTAAAAATAGAACAGATTACTGAAATGGCAGACTAGCCCATCAGCTGATGCTCACAACAAAACGTGTTGTTCATAAGGATTTTGTTAATCGAAGTTTGTTCATTAACCGAATTGAAGATCCTTATGAAAGGTAATTCGTTAACCGAAATTTAATTAATCGAACCATTCGTTAACCGAGGGACCACTGTATTGTTATTATTATCCACTCTGTATTTTTCTGGCTAAATAAACTGTTTCAATATCAATATCAATTTGAGGGAAGAAAACTTTCTTAGCCATTCAGTCATTTGTGCATCTCCACAAAGAAGAGGAAAAACTGTTGTACTACCCGGGCAACAGTGTCCATATCCGCATTGGTGTCTTGTGTCCACACCTAGGTTAAGTTTTGTGTTTTAGTCCATTCTGAAGTAGAAAAACTTTATAATAAGTGATTACTTGTCTATATCCTTGAGTAGTGCTTTTATGGGATTGTGAAGAGTTATCACATCTCGGTGGAAGTTCACAATTACTATAACAGCACTATGTTTTCTCAGGTTCGTGTGGTTGACTTTCGACGGGTAAGGTTGAGAGAAAGAGAAATGGCCAAAAAACTCTTTAAAAGTAAATTGGGGAAGGAGATCCAAAAGGAAGCCAAAAAAGCCAGAACTTTTGTGCCTGGTGCTGGTGGCATGCTCGATACACGACCGTCATTAGGTTAGGAATCACTATTATTATTTTATTATTTCTTGAAATATTTGTTGTCTAAGGATTTCAAGCTAAAATTATGACTTAAAACTTTGATATTCTATCAGTGCAGTCTAAATTTGGTAGGTTGTTATCAATAACAAGGGATTACTCATAGTACACTGTTCTGATTTATAAGCCCCTTTTTTTTTCATATTCATGTTGGAAGAATTTTTTGTTTATGTAAACATTAATGATATAATATACATGTTGTGCTCAACAAAAAGTAATGGAATAGCATTTTTAATGTTCTTTATAAAAATACTGTCATCACAATAAATTCATATTTATTAATAGGGCAAATGACCGCGGAAGATCAAGCAGCGATACGTCAAGCCATAGCCAATGCTCGGTCCATGGAGGAGGTAGAGAGGCTGCAGCACATGCTTCGCACAGGCAACATACCCAGTCGATCACAAAGTGGAAAGCGCCGTAAGTAATGCAGAAACATCATAGGGATATTTATCCAAAACTTATACATCACTGAGTCTTCAGATACCTCATATAGTATAGAGTTTATGGAGGTTGTAGGAGATTGATATATTGTATTTAAAATTTTTCAGGTTTGGGTAGAGGTTTACCAACCTCTCCTTAGGGTATAGCTACAGTATACTGGTTCTTCTCATTTTGTTTCGACACTTGCCAACAGTTATGACTGCTTGACTTGGGGATCTCCCAGCCAACACCATTTTAATATCAACTTAGGGTTTAATTGTTACTTTGGTAGTCTTTGAAAACATATCAATGTATGGCCTTGAATATGGATGAAAATAGTTAAGAGTGTATATGTGCTGTCCAGATTTGAATGTAAGAAATGTTTTCTTAACTTGAATACATAAATAATGTTTGTTTATAGTGGATGTCATGTTGTACAGGAGGTATACTGAAATTATTTAATTACACTAAACTCCCAATAGTTTATCAGCTTAATATGTTGCATATTAATGGAATTAGTAAATTATAGCAGCTTCCCAATTCTACAGTAGCTGCAGTTGTAGTTATTGCAGTTCTGAGTAATGACAAAGCAGTACTGTTTATGTACAGTCCTCAACATTCAGGTATAACCTGCTCAGGAATGTTGCAGTGAGTATGGTGATCCTACTTTTGAATAGTTATTTATCAGTATTATTTTGTTGTAATTTTGCTTTATATTCCAAATTACTGTATTGGATATGTGTACTCACGAATGTGTATGGGGGGGATTATTTTTTTTATAAATTTTTTGTCTTTATTTATATTAATTTTAAAACTCAATCTTATTCTTTTGCTGGATATCCAATTGCATCTGTTTTTGTCCATAGATCCTAACGTTATCATCCCATTGTTAAAACTGTTCTGGGTCATAAATGAAATTCTTTCCCACTGTTTGTGAACCTTTTCAGTGTTATAACTTATAAAGAACAAATTTGCTTAAAATTAATTAGCTTTCTCAACTATCCTCTTGTTCAACGGTACTTAAGTGATTCATATCTAATTTCATTTCTAAGTGATATCTAATGTCCCACTCCCATTATTTCTGTTTCCTCTAATACCTAAATCTCTTAATGGTACAATACATATATTTTATAATCAAAGTTTGTTAATTTAACAGGTTTTCTTAAGTATATTTGTTTCTTTTTCTTGTGTGTTTAGATATAGACAAAATACTTTGTTTTACAATCCGTATGAAAGTGATGGGAAGTGCAGGTGATTATGCTTCTTCATTTCAGTGTCATTACTAAGCTAATAAAAATGGGGCTGAAATACTGCATAAGTAATCAGTTGAAACTTTATACAGACACTTATAATGCAGTTATCAATCTAGTGAGTATGTAAGGTCCTGGAATTATTTTGTTTTTGCAGATATTATGAAAACCTACACAGTGTTCTGTTACCTGCATTCTTTGCTCAGTAATTACTGTATTTTACAGCATATAAAATGCATGTTTTATCTGAAAAAGTGGCTCAGAAAATCAGCCTTTGTCCCTATGTGAAGTTAGGTCTCCCTTAAGTTAATGAATCCCCCAGTTACTGTTTCCAGAAAACTAAATTCTACTTAACCCAACCCTAGAATTAAAAATATGTTACTGCTTACATAAACACTGCTTACTAACACATTATTTTTATTTTTAATTAATTAAAAAATGATTATTGTAAATATAAAAGCTCGATTTATAACTACAATACTGATGATAACCTAAGACGATTAACTTCCGTACAGCAGACACCCAACTCTTCAGAGGTAGCTAAGCATTTACCAATTCTGAACTCTTACAAGCATTACAGTCTATTAATGCCATACCTGCAACATTTATTTTTAAATCTACAAATACCTAATGCAAATGAAGATTTACATATAAATTTCTTTTCAAATTTGCATCTGTTGACATCACTGGCAGCATTGTAGCTAGATTAGACTCGTCACTATTACCACCAGGCTACTGGTGTTATGGTTGTTTTTCATCTCGTATTTTTGGGTAGATATACGTAGCTTTCTTCGATTATTTTTACCCAGTTACTTGCACACACCATCCTACATACATATTGTGAAAAAGTTAAAGAAATAATTGTCTTAAGGGGAAACATGTAAAGGGAATATACATTTCTTTACACATAAGTTAGTTGGCTAACTCGATGGGGGAGGAGCATTGCTAGGGAATCGGCAGAGGTGGCGTCTATGTTGCTATGGCGAGACGGATTATTTGCAAATGGAGACTTGTGTTAGACTTTCATTTGACTTTTATTCACTGGTTTGGCAATGTAGTATTTTTTGTTGTACCTTATTTATTGGTATTATTTTTATTTATTTCTCACATTTACTGGTACAGTAGAACGTCGATTTAAAGCGATTCAATTTAAGATTGTTGGTTAAAAGCGACACCCACAATTAAGGACAATATTTTAATTTAAAGCGAATCTTTCTTATTTTGCGCAAGTCAATCTGGCGCATCATATTTTAAAATTTGTATCTAATGTTTCTCTGGGCACGCTACACTGTCCTAAGGGCAAAGCTGTACTGTACATGTACTCAAACTAATGTACTAAATGATTACCAAAATTTTTGTCGATTGCAAACTATTGCATGTTTATATTCAAATTAATCACTATCTTATAAGAATTCCTGCAATGTAAATTATATTTTCCCCAGTCACTTCTGTGACATTTTTTAAGCAAAAAACAAAAACTAAATCTAAATGACATAAATAAACAAATAAATACTTCACTAGACCTTAGGTGCCAACTGTTAAACATGTCACTGTCACCTCTCCTTCCTCCCTCTCCCGGTCAGGGTTGGGTGGTTTTAGGCTTAACGTTTTTATCTTATATAATATCACAGACTAAAGTTAGGAGAATATAATTTGCATTACTAGAATCCTTGCAAGACAGCAAATAATTTGAATATAAACATCATATATTTTGCACAAGATATAAAATTTTTAGCCATTTGTAATAAAGTTAATTAGAACATGTCAGTTCAGTGACATTTTATAAGAGAAAAACTTAGTCCCTCTTAAGAACAGATAAATAAATAAGCACTAGACCTTGACATCAACTGTCAAACATATCATATCACCTCACCCCCCATCTTCCCTTCAGCTGATTGCTAGTAAACAGACCCTTTCACATCCCATAATTTTAGCTGTGTTGATTTATGAGTTTGTTTTAACATAATACAGGTTGTACCTCTCTAGTCCGGCAACCTCGGGACCTGACAGGTGCCGGACCATGGAAATTCACCCTTTTCCTGGATAGACAGTGACTTGTGCTTAGCTTGGAAGCACTAGCACCACTTTCTCTGCTTCATGGTCTCTTTGAAGACATATTGAAGGGTTAAATGTCGTACAGTAGCTTCTCAAATTTCACGAGTTTTTAATCCAGCGTTCATTTTTTTTTTTTGGAAAAAAAAAAAATTAAAATTTTGATGGCGGAAACTCGAATTTCGATGGGTTTGAGCGGCCCACCAACGTTCAGACGACGTGCACAATCGTGTAAACAGCGTCATTTCTTTTATGTACAAAGGATTCATTATTGTTTATTACTGAATGTCTTTTTGATTGAATTAATGTTAATGTGCACAAAATGAGCAATACAATTCATTAATAATACGTAGAATATTAAAACACACGAGGAAATGAGACCATTGTTTTCGTTGGTTACAAAACCAGTGACTGACTGGTTCTACATATAAAACTGAAGAAAATAAGACCCTGGTTGTAGCTGTAGTAAAATTAATATGGTTATTTTAAGTAATGTTATTTAATGTTAATAAATGGAACAATAGAAGTAGATAATGGTAAAGAAAAAAAGAGAGATCGCGTATGTAAGTGCGCACATGTGAAAACATATCGTCATTACTCTACATAAGAATATGAAAGCAACACTTATTTACCGTTCATATATATTTTAATTAATGTTTCTGATTTTTTTTATTGAATTAATGTTTGTGTGCAAAATGAACAATACAATTTATTAATAATACGTGGAATATTAAAACACACGAGGAGACACGACGGCTGCCGGCATTGTTTTCGTTAATGCTTACAAAACCAGTGACTGATTGGTTCTACATATAAAACTGAAGAAAATAAGACCCTGATTGTAGCTGTAGTAAAATTAATGTAAAAAAATTAATATGGTTGTTTGAAGTAATGTTATTTAATGTTAATAAATGGAACAATATACTGTAAGTAGCTAACCATTAATGGTAAAGAAAAAAAAAGTGAGACTGCACATATGTAAGTGTGCACATGTGAAAACATAGCGTCATTACTCTACATAAGAATATGAAAGCAACACTTATTTACTGCTCATATATATTGAAGGGTTAAATGTTGTACTCTGTATAGACTAGCAGAGAGAGAGAGAGAGAGAGTAGCCGAACTGCCGGATGTAAACAAACCTTAATTTCCCGCGGCTTTGTTGTTGTTTTTTTTATGGGGATTAGCCCACCCGGGCCTGGGTCACTGACCCACATTGGGGCCTCAGGGGCGAAAATTTAATACTCCTGTAATAATAATAATTCAGATAAGTTTAAAAAAAAAAAATAGCTACCTATTGGACAAACTAAAATCGCTCGGGACCACGGGAGTTTCCGGACCACAGAATGCCGGACTAGAGAGATACAACCTGTACTACAAAAAGCAATGTTTTGTTTTTTCTAGGAGATGGGCTGAGGTGCATCTGGGTAGACTCTCGGTCTTTTTAGTGTTTTGTGTTTCTCTCAAGTACCAAACTACATTATTCCATTGAAATAACACTTCGATTTAGTGCAAATTCGGTTTAAAGCGATCTCTCTTGGAATGTATCTCGTGTTATATCGACGTTCTACTGTACTGTATATATTATTTTAAGAAAACTATGGCTACAGGAGGAAAATACACACCAATTTTTTCCTAAATGCCCCTTGTTAAAATGGGGTGCGTCTAATATGGCCGAGCATCTTATATGCCATAAAATACAGTACTTTAACTATATACAGGTGCTCCTGTACTTACGAACGATTTACGTTCCTGAGGCTTGTTTGTGAGTCCAACTTTACTCTTGTAGATACCAAACATATTGTAAAATATGAAAAGATTATGGATATTTAGTACAGCTATAGCCTTTAATACAGCCTTAAAACCTGGCTCACTCTTCTCCTCTAAGGTAATGTTTGTTCATTCTGGAATTTTCTTCAAAATAATCCAGTCTCATCCACATTAAACACCTGTTCTGGCAGGTAACCCCCCTCAGTGATGATGTTTGTATCTCTGAAAGTTTGTAAGTTGAATGTTCTTAAGTAGAGGAACACCTGTATATTGTAAAATGACGCATTAAGTATGAAGTGACATTCTAATTGTAATACAAGATTGCTCATTTCATTTTGTATCCAATTTTTCCACACAACAGTAGGTCATTAGTGCTTGTAATACCTTAAACATATTATTATATTTCCTCTTCCTTCATTGCATTACTTATCCATCATTTTCTGTGTTTTTCTTTGTAATTAGTTTTTCAAGATCAATATTTGAAGCAACTTTTGGGGAAGTCATACATTGTCAAGTGCAACTAAACCAATGTACTGGGAACCTTCCAGTTGGTTTAAGCAATTAATAAATATTATGCATTCTCTTTGTTTCAGGACACCCAGATGATGATGACGACAACTGAAGTGACTAATGGTTTGGGATGTACTGATTACATCGCATGTTAGGAAAAAAAATTTTAAATTAGCTAAAGGAACATGATATTTTTTTCTGAATGGTGATAGAATATTCAGTGTGGTAAGTATAATTAAGTTTTGAAGTGTGTTGTTGTTATATTGTACCAATTCCCATAAGCCATACAGTATAATGATAAGAACAGATACTGGTTACTGCTATGTATATGGGTTATCAAGTGTTGTATATTTGGTATTACAGTTTCTAATAACTTTTGTCACTTAAAAATTTGTGTTTGTGAGATGGCAGAGAAGCGAGTTCCTGTTTTCAGATAATGAAATTATCAGAAAAAGTAATAAAATACATTATCATGCAATTA